ATAATAGAATCAGACTCTAAAAAAAAAATCAAAAAAAAAATCCAGTAAATGTCTCTAAATAAATCCTAATGTTTTGAAAAGGTTTGTAGGGGTGGGGCATTATTACCTCTATGTGAAACATTGGAATATACACAAGAAAGACTTGGAAAGACTAACAATTCATTTTATTATAGATTCATTTTTAGTGCATATTAATTGTTTAGACAGAAACCCAAAGATAGTCACTTTACTATCACATTTGGAAAAGAAAAGCAGCAAATCCTCACATTTGAGACACTGGAACCAGGATGTATTTGGCATTTTTAGCTGAAACAGAGATCTGTCCTTTATGACTGCCTGAAAAGGAAATACAGTTGCAACCTGATAAAGGATTTTAAAAGATGGAGATGTTTGAAATAACGCAGAAGAAAGGAATTCTTTCAAAGATGCTCAGCTCAGTAACTGTAAAGATACACAAACTGAGGCTACATATAAACACACACTCACTGACCTCTGCAGCAAACTGAAGTCTGATGTGCAGCTTACCTGAGACGAGCCATGCTGCTTCGCCTGCGAGGCCCTTTGGCTGTAGAGACCAGCGAGGGCAGCCTCAGAGGGGTCCTGGTCTCCCTGCTGCCTCCGGCTGTGGGTGGAGGGTGCACAGAGCTGGTGAGCAGGTACGTCTGAACCAAAGCTCTGCTCTTCTGCACGGCCCTCTGGCGCCACGGCCCACTGAGGTCCAAACCCAAGCCGAGTATGGCTGTCGGGGGTGCAGCTCCAGCGGTGCCACTCATTGGTCTCTCAGTTTGTGTTTGGAGGAGAATTTACCTGGAAAGACCCTCTGGTAGTTAAACTAGATGTACATGTATGGCCCTAAAAATAAGATCAACTGGAGGACAGGTGGAGTGTTTCCTCTGCAGATGAAGACCTGGATCTGTGCGTGTCAACAGCTACAGGCCGCGGGGGGTGAGTGGAGAAGGGATTGTACCGCTCCACCTGTGGGCAGCGGACGCCATCAATGATGCATGGTCATTAATGATGCATGACTGGAGCTGGTCAGGTGGACACCACCTACTTTACCTCCTCTCCCTCTCTCCCTTTCCCTCTTCCCCAGGTCAGTTTACAGACGGAGGGAACAGGTGGTAAACGCATGGGGCTAAGTGAGCGTCCAGGAAATGAACTTAAAGTAGAAAACATCCTCACCAATGGTTGATTAATGGTTAAGTATAAAACCATTTAATGTCTAATATCATCCAGAAAACTCTTCTAAAACCTTTAAAACTTTATTATTTCTGACCCTGTCATCTCCTGTATACAGAACCAGTGCAGTTACAGTTTCATTTAAGTTATTTGTCTTTGGCAGCAGGTCTGTTACCAGATATAAGATATTCCTGAAAGCTCTTAGAGAATGCAATTTGGTGCTGATAGGGAAAGCTAAGACAAAGTTCTTATACTGTTATTTTAGTTTATTGAGCTGTTTTCCAGATGAATATAAAAGATCAATATTGAGCTGTGAACTGACTAAAAGACCCCTAAAGTTACAGGTACTTGTACCTCAGTGAGTACTTGTGTAGTTGTCCTAATATTTGGGTTTAGTGTAGCTTCATTGTTAGAAATATAACATAAAAACAGATAAACACATCCATTTTTATTTGGTTATTACATAATGCAACATATTGTTACATGTACATAATGTCAGGAATATTATTACATATTTTATTCAAGCAGTTTATTCCAAAATGTGGATGTCATCACATACAACAATATTGTTATATACATCCTTATATCTGTGTTTAGGAGAAAAATAAACACACAAACCAGCTGTTGCACCTTAAAGTCAAATGTTGGACTGAGAGCAGAGAAGTTGAAATAGAAAATAACTTAAAATAATAGGTTATTGGTGCCACTCCATGTGTCAGTAGTGCATTCAACTATCACTGTGTCAATAAAACAAATAATATCTACTTTTATATAATTATGTTAAATGAGATCCTACTGACAATAAATTAAAATAAGCACATCTGGAACATGACGGATGAGGTAAAACTCATCTTGTTCGGCTGTAGGCGGACGTCAATCCTCAATCCACAATAATAATTTAACTATTCACAAATTACACAACTCTTTCCAATAAACTTCCTATAAGAGTAAAATGAATATACAGTAACTTCTGCACTGAGTTGATTTAATGAGTTTCTACAAGTCTCATTTGGGCAATTTGTGTCGTAGCAAGTTTAAAACAAAACAACAGAGAAACAAACAGCAGTTGACAGGCAGATGAAGTCATTTGAGTCATTTAAGCTCCTCTGGCGCGGCCCCCACAGGGCCTATGAATAGTATAATGAGCGTTGAATATGGTCAACATCACTAAGCAACATAACCATTCACATAACAACACTAAAGAAGTGGATACAGATAAAGAGATTCTGAACATAATGTATTAAAAATGTGCCATTATCATCCCCATCACTGAGGTAATGTCACAGACACCCGCTGTTACCTCCTCTATCAGCATTCAGGACAAACATATTTACTTATTTACTACATTGTCCACCAGTGGTTGAATATTTATCTATTTATCCTCTATACAGTTCTTTTATTCTTATCTCTACTTTCTATATTTAGCTAAGAGTTTATTGTTTATCTTATACTGTATTTTTTTATACCTCTTTTATTTTCTATACAAGTGTTTTGTAAGCTGCTGGAAATTCAATTTCCTTGAGGGAGTCGTCCCAAAGGGATCAATAAAGTGAAGTCTCAGTTTAAATGTAATTAAGTACCTTTACTGAAGTACTTAAGTACAAATTTGAGATACTTGAGTATTCCCATTTTATGTTTCTCTCTCCTAGATTAATTAGATAAATTTAAGCAATTAGCAATTAGATAAATGAAGTAATAAATGATGAACAGCACATCTTAATAAATGAAGTAAGTTAACTCACATTATTTAACACTAACTCAAAACTGAATGGTTGTTTTGAATGAACTTAAATCTGTGCAGTATTTTAATTATTGGTTATATAATTCCAGTTTGTTCCATTGACTCATTTTCTTTATGTTGACTTTAAATAATTAGTAAATGTAAGCGCCACTGTTCTACAATTCTTAAGATTATTAAATCTTTTGTTTTTTATCAGTTTATAAATCATCATATGGCCCAATTTTTAACTTCATAGTTAACAGTTTTGATGTCAGTGACACAGAAAACAAGGAAACTATTGCTATCAACTTAATTACAGCAGTAACAATTAGATAATTCACAGATAATCGTCAATGGATACCACTTAGGTCAGCTGTTTTGACAGGTAACGTCATAATTTAAATTAAACTCAAGTGGTAACATTTACATAAAGAAGATGCAGTTAAAATAGTCTTATTTTATTTATTATAAATTCAGTTTCATGTTCATTTTAGAGAAATTTTAGAGAACTGCTGCACAGGAGTGTAATATACCTTTTTCAATTAACTGAACGTAATTGGTACAATAACTACATTTATCCAAGTTACCTTAACAAATACTTAAGTTACTTAAATCAAATATTAATATATAATACTATTAATACAACAGGTTTTACAGTGTATCCTTATATTGAAATAATTTTATTTGGCCCTGAAAACATTGTCACTGCAGTTGATCAGTTTATTGGACCATTACACACGAATATCAAACCCACTGCAAAGAATCTGGGAATCATCTTCGACCAGTATTATGACATTTGACCTTCATGTTACAAAACTCGTCCAATCCTGTTTCCTGCAGCTACTAAATATAGCAAAAATCTAAAGTTTCTTCTCCTCCAGGCTTTTAACCAGAACCAGCCGTCGGTCCCACATTACTCCTGTTCTCGCATCCCTTCATTGGCTTCCTGTAAGTTCATCATAAACTATAAGATCTTACTGATTACATATAAGGCACTTCATGACCTCGCCCCCAGTCGCATTTCAGATCTCTTTGTTCCTCATTGCACTCCTCGGCCACTTCACTCCTCAAATCTCGGCCTTTTATCCGTTCCACGCTCTACCTGCAGAACTAAAGGTGTTTTAGCCCCAACATTGTGGAATAGTCTTCCCCAATCATTGTTTTAAGCGGCTGCTCAATCCCACCTCTACAGGCAAACCTTTTTATAGATCTCATTTGTTTTCTTATCTGTCATCTCTCTTTTAATGTATCCTTCCCTCGTTTTATCTTCCTTTGTATTTACATGCTCCCTATGTTTGTTTTATTGGGTATGGTTATACCCATATGTATATTTGTTGTTTGTAAAGCACTTTGGATCTCTGTGTCAAAAAGGTGTTATATGAATAAAGCTGAACTTACAGGTTAAGCTACACAGCAGTATATAAATTAAACTCAGCTCCACTGTTACCAGCTATAACATTACATTAATCAATCATAAAACATAATTCACATTTCATTAAGTGACTTTTTCAACGCCGCATAGAAACATCTGCATCGTTTGGTTTCAGGTTTTTCCTTTAATTAGTCCCCTGTGTGTGTATGTGGCTGCCAACAGCCTGTTTACAGAGTGTTTTAGTGCATCTCAGGTCAGCCAACACCAAACTGACCCACATTCGACCTCCTTCGGTTGGCTCCTTCGTATCATCTTGCTCCCGGCGCTTTGGACCTCCTCCAGGTTTGGCAGCCAACCCTCAGGATACAAGTGTGATCCAGCAGCGGAAACATTGCACCTTTACCCTTAATTGTAACTGGACTGGCGTCAGGGAGCTTCAGAGCCAGGGCACTGAGGCAAGTAGGAACACAGGCAGGCCGAGGTGGAAGTTAATCAACTGTAACTGAGTCCTTATGGTTTTTAAAATTACTATGATATTTTATATGTCTCTACATTCTGCTGCAACTTAAACTTAACTGAATATATAGAATCATGTTATAAAGTTTATTATAGTTCTACTTAAGACTATTTAAGCCTGTTATTGTATTGAGAATGCCAGTTTTGAAGGAGTTTAAACACCAAAATAAATAAGCATTTGCACTATAAGAAATACAAAAAAAACAACAAAACTTAGGTTTATATTATTTATTATTATTAATTATTTAAAAAACAACAAACAGTGCATCCCTTCTCTGGACTGCGGCCTGCTTGTCCTCTGCTGGATGTCTCCTGGTACTGCATCTGCTTCACCACCTGCAGCTCTGCAACAACGGAGCAGATAACAGCTTTTAGTTGAGATTATTATTATTTATTGTTTTTAAATTGCACATCCAAGACTAAATGATAAAACTGCAGGGGAACTAACATGGAAGTCATCCTGGCATCACCACAGTGCAGTTGCTGGGTCTCCCTGCAGCTCTGGCATTTTATCAGACATCAGTCTTCATTTTACCTTAAAAAAAAAACAGGAAAACAAAAGAAAAGACAAACTTATTTATGATGGACCTACAGTTTCCATGACCACCATACACACCCTCACTGGTGTTTTAAATTATTAGGGTTGATTAGACATCTGGCTGAAGTTGGAGAATATATTTATCATGCTGGAAATTACATAATGTCACCAGTTTCTATGTACGTATAGGAATAATAAATGTGTAAGTAGTTCAACCCTGACATGTTCAACTGCAAGTGAAACGTGTGTTGGTATACCACGAGTTAGAAGAAAGAAAGATTTCACACATCAAAGTTTGTTTATAGGTCTTAAGAAGTGCTACAGCATGTGTGACGAATGTTGTCTAAAACCTTTATATATACACACACACAAAGCAATTTAACTTTTATACATATATAAAAACAGTTATTCTCTTGAGACATAAAATACTAAGTAGTTAAAACTATATAAAATTTACAATTGTTTTTACACATTTTACACAAGAACTTAACCCCACACACTGTATTTGACCAACTACTGAGGATCTTACCACGGTTTAACGTCACGGATTCTCAGCCTCCTTCGACAGGTCGAGGCTCCTGTGGCGAGAGACAAACAATGAGAGCCTGGCAGTGAACTGGTCAGCAGGTTTCTACCATTATGTTTCTGTTTGTTTTATATGCCAAGACTATTTTGAAGTTGCCACCCTTTTAAAAAAAGACAAAATGACAGCCTGTGTATGAGAGTACGTGTGTTTTCTGTGTTGTGTGTGTGTTTGTGTGTGTGTGCGCAGTGACGTGTGTGGATCCAAAAGAAAAAAACAAACATGTTTTAATGTGTAAAATACAGGTTATGGTGTTATAATGTGAACATGCATCACAGGTAAATAAATAGAGCGCCCTGCACCCTGAAGTAGAATCATTTGTTTACAAACTGCAGAGGGAACGAGATGAAATTCATGACAACACGTTCAAATCTGTTGCAATCCTCAGGGAAGGTAATTCTGTTACAAAGCCATGTGAAGCTGGACTTCGTACTGACACATCTGGGGTGTTACTGCAAAACCTTAAAACACAGCTGGGAGCTGCACCATAACCTTGTACAGTCATATTAAAAAGGTCAGTCTTGCAGACTTTGGGGCGGTGCCCTTTTAGACGAGGCCATTAGAGGCCAAAAGGGTTATTCTGGCATCACACTCAGGACACAGACAAGATTTTTTGGGCCAATCAGGACTGAGGACTTCGTTAGAAAATGGATCACAGTGCAGAGAGATACATATTGACAGCCTCCAGGGCTTGATTCATGGCATTGGCAGTAACACAGTGTAGTTCCCTCTTGATCAAGGCTCACCCGAGCTCGTGAGAACCATAAACTCCAGGTAGCACCACGGTTTCCTTTGCAGCTACAAGACAACTCCTACGCACAAGAAACGAAAGGAAAATGCCACAGTCGTGATGTACTGTACTTTTTTTTTTTCCCCTTTACAAAATGGCTGGCTGGTCACTGGTATGACAGGGCATTTCAAGTTCAACAGGAAGAATGACAACATATGAGTAGAGTGAGGTACTGAGAGGAGATAGGAAAGGAAAAGAAAGCAATAGAGTCGAGCACTACTGCAAATGTTTATTCTCAGAGAAGAACTACTTGTCTCTGCGTTTTCCTTTTCCTCCTCACAAACAGGATGTGAAATAACCAGCAGCTCTAAGTTATATATGTGTTTTGCTGTGTCTGGTATGTTTGTCTGCCCTACAGACCACTTCAGTCCCAAACCAACAACCATTATTTAGTTTGCTGCCGGATACAGCCGCACTGTTGTAGCACATCGCCATGTTACACCGTCAAAAACTATACAGAGTGCAACAAAATATGTACAAAATATTAATGTTTGCTCCTGTTATTCTTTGGGGAAATAATCAGGTTTGGAACTACAGTTCCCATAATGCTCTGAGGGATGTAAATAGGAAATATGTTGCCACGAATTTAGAGAGTTATGCTGCAGACTGCAAATTCATCCCTTAAATTAGCATTAAAAGTAAGCTCATTTAGCCATTAGCAGTTCCTGTATTCAATGTTTCCGTTAATGTAGAAATAAATATCACTGGATTATTCTGATAAAGAAGAAAACATGATGATTCTCCCACACTTGCTTTTTTTCTTTGAGTTCTGAGCCGAGCTTTAATCATGATGAGCATCAAATATGTGATATCCTAGTATAGTGTATGTCTCCACACACACACACACACACTATATGTGCGACCTGTTTTTATTTGACTATGAAATTATGGTTTTTGATGAAAGTTCATATACTAAAAGGTTTTTAAGTACTTCATGTTGTATTCTTAACACCAACAGACACCCGTTTCATCGGATTTGTGTTTTCTCCCGATACAAAACTCTTGTTGTAAATAATACACTGGTGTAATTAAAGTGTAGACACTTCAGGTGATATAGTGAATCCAAAGTTCACAGCCCTTTCTTCAACAGACAGGATGAACAGAAAGTGAAAAGAAACAGCTTAACATGAGCTCAGGAAGTTGGTCATAAATTCACATTAAATATTTGTATTTTTAAAAGAGAAAGAAAAGAACAAAACCACCAATCCTCATCTACACACACACACACACACACACACACACACACACACACACACACACACACTCACAAAGGTTTTGGTGTAAATTCAGGCAAACTGCATTGAGCATTGGATTTAAAAAAAAAACAAAACAGGATGTCTGACAGGGATTTTGATTTTGTACAATCCCACCCAGAGCAACCCGAGCAGTGTGAGACGTTTCACTTCATAACTGCAAAGACATCCCAACCCAACACCACAAAAATTAACATTCATAGGTTTAGAGACATTTCGCAGCCAGAGACAAGAGGGAGTCCAGAGTGGAGACAGATGGAGTTCTGTCAGTGCTTAAAGGCACACTATGCAAGATTTGTACCTTAGTATAACAGCTTCGAAGTCATTTAGATGGTAAACGAACTCGTAGTACAGCGAATCATCCTGATAGCAGAGCAGGAGAGGGACGCCGCTGGCAAAACCAGCAATGCAAGTCTGAAAGGTGGCGCCCCGCCAAATCTCGCGAGAATCACGAATTGCTTTACGGCGTGAGGTCACATACATCAGCGACATAAGAAGTAGCCTCAATGGAAGACACTAGTAGGCATTCACTCAGACGTTACCTGGTCAGTAGACATCTTCGGAGTCTATCTTTGCCTGTTCGATGTCCGACGCTTCCATCCTACTGAACATGAACAGGTATACAGGGGGGAGGGGTATATAGAGACGGCTCTGGTGAGTGGTATTTACAACAGTTAACGTTAAATACAAGTACTCGGCAGCGACTCTAGGGGTAGCTGTTTGACAAAAACGGAAAACTGCATAGTATGCCTTTAACAACTCAAAGTGCTAAAAAACAAACAATTAAATAGTTTGAATGATTTTAATTTTTTACCATGTTTCAGTGATCCACACTGGGACTACTGTACTTAAAAATCATGAGACAACGGATTGACTATTTGCTAGATGTGCTATTGTTTCTGGAAGGGCAAAAAGCTACCCAACATTATTTTTTAAAAAGGCACCAAACCAAAGCTGTTACAGGTATAAAAGAGGCAAAGCACAAAGTCAACACTAGCCCGAAAAACTCCTTTAAAGCATTACAATGGAAGACGCCATCCCACGAGTTGGGCTTGGATAGTTTTTTTCTGTTCATTGTTGCACACAACCTGCCTGTTTTGATTGCTAATTACATTTTAAATACGGTTTACAAACAAAAAACAAATGCCATGTACAGTTGTACAAGAATTAAATGCTTTAAGTTTAACATTTGCCAGAAACTAAAAACGGGAGACCCTTCTCTTGACCTTAAGTGTTCCCAAAAAACTTCTGCACTTTGTTCCACACGTCCGTGGTTAGAAACTGTAGTGTTGAACCAGTGACTCAGCCGTCCATACATAATTCCTTTCATGCATACATACAGAGAAGCCAAAAAAGTACTACAACCACACACACACACACACTGCACGGGGCTGTAATGCTTTGCCACATCCACACACAAAAAAGGTTGAAGAACAGAGATCTGCACTGTGATGCCATTCTTTGTAAGTGTGATGCCAGAAGCCCTGTAAACGTCACTGTGAGCAGTGACGTGGTATAAAGAGAGGACAGAGAGAAGAGTCAAGTTATGGGACAACTGTGCATCTTGTATTATAAACATGGATGGGACACTTACCTTACTTGTTCAGCTGATCTGTGTAAGCATACCTCTGGCTGCAGTGCAAACAAGTCCAGGCTTTACTGTCCACTGACTTCTGCAGAACTACTCATCGTCAATGTAACCCAACTGCAGAGAAGAGCCTCTACTGTGGACTGGGGCAGCCTGTCTTTGACAAGCTGGCTGACAGCAGCTAACGCACCTCTCATTTACCCAAAGACATGAAAACATACACACAACCACACAGGCACAACACGCCATCCTCTCTTCAACCGCAAGGTGCATGGGACTTCCTGCCTCAGGTAGGTTGGTGTATAGGAGGTTGGTCAGGTCTACTAGAGCAGTATCAGCTTTTAGGGTTAAAGGGGTTTTTTCACAAAGAGAGAACAATTATGGATCGAGGTGCAGTGCGGGGGGTTAAAAGCCAGGAGGCCTTAAACAAATCAAAACTTCTCCTTAAGAATGTAAACTTGGTTTCAGCTTTTACTCAACAAAAAATGTGCTGCAAAAGGTGACGCCCCTGTAATATAGTTACTTTACAGCCTCTTGACTATGAACTATGTGTCAAAAGCTTTGATATGAGCTTATATTTTTACTCCTCTGATGCTGTCAAATGTGTTAGTAATAAAAAGGGACATTCTAATATAGTGACTATGTTCTGTTAAATGCCTTCTTTAAACGAGTCCCGACAAAAAGCACCTTTTTGATTTCATTTTTTTACTCTAATAACAGACTGAAAATGTGCTGCAATAAGGGAAATCCATGTTCTGAACGTCTAATATAGTTGATTGTTGTGTGTTTGGTGCCACCTGTAAATAAATCCTGACAAAGAACATCTTTTTAAGCTTCAAAGATTTGATTAAAATGTTTTGGCCATAGGAGACGTCCCTGGTTCAAACATCTATTACACAGCTACTGCATAGGTAGTCTGTTAGATGTGCTTGGTGCCACCCTTTAACAAATCTTGACTATGAACTTACTCTTAAAATGTGTACGTGTCAAAGCTTTGATTTCCATTTTACTCCAATAACGCAAAGTCAAAATAAGTCTATAAAAGTGCAGTTGTGTGTTTCTTGGCACAGTCAGTTAAATCTTGTGTACGTGGAAGAAGTAACTTCCACCTGAACAACAGTCCAAGCTATAGAGCCACCAATCTATCATGATCAATAATAAGAAATCTTTCCAAAAACAGGTGCTATTTGGTCCTCGAGAGACAGCTTTTCATTAACAAAACCACTCCAACAGAAGCTACAGACTTTGAATTTCTTGGTTTGGAAAGTTCCTTCTCATAGTCCAACACCTTTAAAGATGGTCAAACCTGTTAAAGAAAAACAAATTGTACACAACACCAACACACAGACATAACATTACAAGTTTTAAAGTTTACACTTGGGTCAAGTCAATGAGAATTTGTACTATTTCGCAGGAGGTTCAGATGCTGTGTGGAAAACTACTCAAATAGTGTTTGACTAGCAAAGTGCTAAATAAACCTAATAAACCTAACACTTTATATATTCATATTTAATTTAACATAAACTTCCTGTAAACAAAATTACATTTATATTAGTAATTTTAAGATTTGTTAGCACTTTTAAATAATATTTAATTGTCTTACCGACTCCAAAGTATCAGCGGCATTTTGAATTTTGCCTTTTCTCCCGCTAGTTTTTTTCCCCCAATCGCTATTAGACAAAAAATCTCTTCCAGGTCACATTTTAATCCAGTTAAACATCTGTTCATTGCAGTCAGACACTGAACAGTCTATTTACAACAAAGCCCTACATCACAAATCCAAAGGTTTTTGTTGTGCTAAATTCTCTTGATAAAGAAAAGAAAAGATGAAGGAATAAAGCATCAAAAACTTAAGCTTATGTATATTTTTTACTCTGACTTTTATTATAAACTACGATTTCAGTGAGATTCAAGATTTTACCAAGTAAATAAACAGCAGCTAAGAGCTGGTCTAATGTTGCATGAATATTTAGTTTTAGGCTGTGATCTGAAAAACAAATACACCAGCATTGATCTACAAACAACGGTTGTAAACTGGTTCCAGACTGAACTGGAGCTCTAATACATTTATGATTTAACCAACCAACACCTATCTGGTGTTCTTGGACTACAAAAGTGTCTCTTCTTCCATTCCCACAACAGGTTATATAACTACAGCAGGTCTCCAACGAATTGTCAAATTAATGACAGCAGAATACCGGTAATTGCCAATCACCTTCAGTAAAAAGGTTCCCACAGTTCTCACATCTGAAGTGACATTTTTTCATAAAATTTAGGGATCTGCATTTCTTTAACAGCAAATTATCTGAAAAGGTTTTGAAAAATACATTAAGTTGCAACATTAAGAGTTAGTTATGTTTGGGTTTTACCCATGTAGTTTTATTTACAAGGTTAGAAACGGTTTCATGCACGAGGAATGACGAGGCAGGTCTATACGACACTGACTCAAAAGCATATGTGTAGGCTACAGTCAGCGTCCTTGTTTTAATCCTATATATGTTGTGAATCTTACTAACGTTGTTTGCACAAGTCCAGGGGGTTAGAGTTTCTTTGCTAAAACATTCCTGAGTCCACGCTATACAGCCACAAATTCCTCCAGTCAATCTTTTAAAGCTGGTCAAACCTGTCAAAGAAAAGATTTACAAAACACAAACACACGTAACATTGCAGATGAACACTCCAGGATATCCAACGCCATTACCAAGTTCATCCAAATATTCTGTCGTCCTCTGTTTTGCAGTGATTTCAGATGTGTTTTTTTTACAGGAGTTCCCCAGATGCCACACGAAGGAGGGAAGATTGTCTTGGGATACTTTTTAATAACCAAAAGGACAAATTCTTATTTTCAGTGCAGGGTGCATCATCATACTGTGCACAAGAGCAATGCTACAAAAGGTTACATACACTGACGTTTTGGCAGACTTTTAATTTGTTAAATAGCCAAAGAACTACCATAGGATGCATTGTAGACATCCAATTACAGGTCCCAATGTTGTCCCAGTGGACAGACACTTGCTGTCAATAAAAGAGCACTATACAAGTGACTGTAAAGGTCAGGCAGGAAGATAATTATTGTTCTTATTCATCTTGAAAATGTAAGTATTATAAAAGTAGTATCCAAAGCTGCACTGTTAAGGACTCTTGTGTTAACTACTCGTAATATAAAATATACCTTCAATGATCCACAGAATGTCAGAGTCAAGCTAGTGCCAGGAAAAATAAACAGAGGGCCAGCATGTTCTCCATTTCCATGACAAAAACGCAGTAACATTATACTTGTTATATGAGTTGTAATTAAAGCAAGAATACTTACACTCACTTTCATAGCCCACCTCCTCCTACCATACAACCCTGAGTGTCCATTTGATGTCCAAATACCACAAAGCAGGTACTGACATGATTGATGGGGAGCAGCCAGAGTAGGCAGCAGGGGTAAAATGTGGATTTGATTTCTCTTTCATATGGTAATTATTAAAATATTAGTCCTTGTAATACAGTTCCTTTATATAGCATTTTGTTAGTTTACAGAGTTTAGTTACAATCTGTGATCCAACAAAAGAATAGTTCACCATCTAAATACAAAACACAGATGAAGCAGTTCTATAATTTCAAGGTGATTAATGCCCAACATTATGCTTTTGATTTTTTCCCATTTTAAGGGTTAGGTTGTTAAATGTTTTACCACCGTTTGTTTGTGAGCTCTTGTGTCTTGTAGTATTGCCACAGATGACATTAATGCAACTACAGCTTAAAATGTCTCCTGAAATGCAGAAGGGGTTGATCAATGGGCAGAATCCAGATATGTTGTAAATAAAACGAAAGCACTGTGGTGCTCGTCCGTTACCAACAGTTTAACTACAAAGCATGCTGAGAGAACTTCTTTCAGCCATGTGACTGGTGGTAAAAAAAACAGCCAAATAATGTATCTGTCCAACAATATAAATTAAATTGGAATTCACAGTGTGAAACTATCAGATTATTAAACCAATAACACGTAGCGGTCTTCCTTCGGTTGAATAACAAGATGCAAAAGTGAGTTCACAAGCTGGAGAGTTAGGATGTTTTGTCTGTAACAAAAAAAGTAGGAAAGATGCAGCAGATACGGACCATATATTCCACTGCAGTACGAGCCAGAGCAATCTTATACATGAAGGTCAGGGCAGAGAACTGAAACTCTGGATTTCTTGTGTTACAGGCCCCACACAATAAAAGCTGTCAGTGAAGTACAAGTTGTGCAAGTTTAGGATTTATATCAGTTTTCTAAATCCATCATTGGCTTTGTTTGCTGACTCTTAGGTCACACTAGTGTCATACAGCTCTATAAAAACAACAAAATCATAAAAAGCATAAATATTTTTAAATTAAGTGAATATATATTCAAATCAAGAACTGAAAAGAATTGGTCACTGACATTCTTAATTTTCTCTTTTGTTATTAAATGTGTATGATTCATGTTTTCATTTGCTTTAGTTTCTAGTAGTTATCATGCCTTTAAAACTGAGCAGAATGCATGTTACCTAATGTTACTTAAGACCAACTGAGCATCCCTTGCCAGTCATGCAAAGGCAGATTTACTCATGCCAACAAATAGTCTAACTATGGTACGGACATTCGACTCAGATGAAGTTACTTCAATAAAAGACTTCCTTCCTTTTGTGTTCCTTATACACACACTTAAACTCTGAACTCTGTTGAACCCAAAAATATAGTCCTGAACTGAACGGGACTACGTTTACATGCAGGTTTGTAAAAGGATAATCTGTGTAACTCAACTAAAAAAAGATACGGATAACATGTGACTGTAGCCACTTAGAGGAAATGAGGTTATCGGCCTTCTATTTGTGCCATTACACTTAAATACCCTACACACTAAAAGCACTTCTGCACCTTGTGTCTTATATATTGATCTCACTGCCAAAAGCATAACGGAGACTACAAGCTCAATAATGTCTGATAACAGATCATTAAGACAAATACCCGTGGTATGAAAAGCATAATGCAGCACGGCAGCAAACTGGGTCGTTTCTCTAAAAATGGATGAGATCTCAGTTAAAAAAATAATTCAGCTGGAAACACTAATTGGAAGTGCAGGTTTTAGGACATCTATCCATTTACGATGTGAGTGCAGTGATCTTTATTAATACATACAATCGTCTGCATGTAAACGTAGTCAATAACCCCAGACCCCCAAACATGCACACAAGACACACCAACGTGGACTGTGTCAGTGACAGCCTGAGTATGTGATTTATGAGCAGAATGTGTTCGCAATGCTATCCACAACTACACACTATACACCACAGGCTCTCTTAAAGGTTCTATGTGTCGTATTTCTGCTCTCCTGAAGCAGGACTGTAAAAGCAGAGTCACTGAGGGAAACCTCTCAGTGAACCCACTTAAGTCTGAAACACAGTTAATATTTTAATGTTTGAAAAAAAAAAAGAGACCGACTGTTCCACAAAGCAGTGATTGTGGAGTCCAAACTGGAGTATTATAAATACAAGTCACCTGAAGAGCACAATCATAATCAGGTCATGTCCCAAAACTAAGTATATTTTTAACTCCGACGTAGTATTTCTATGAAGAATGCCAGTTGTGACGGGTTTCAGGAAGTTAAAGGAGGATGTTTTTGGCTTCAGACGGGTTCACACATTGTGTTACGTAGATTGTGTTGCACGCATTGCGGAACAAAGAAGTCAGGACTGTAGCAGAGATAACACATAGACCCTTTAAGACCTAATGTGGCAGATTTGTCCACATTATTTCATAAGTGCAAACAACCAATTGTTGGGATTTGGTTGCTTTGTGAACGCAATGTACGTTTCAACGTTTAGGAATAAATGTTAAAGGTTTGTCCTGATAGAACCAATGTATCTTTATTATAATACATGCTTTGACTCCAAATGTATGGCACAAAACACAGCCATAGAAAGTTGAGAAAAATGTTACAATTATCACTTCACGGCGACTCACAGAGGATAATACATCTAGAAAAGAAAAATTATACATGGGTCAGAAAGAACTAACGACCACACGAATGTGACTCATCTTTCCATACTACTGACAATACAAAATAAAAAATGAAAATATTGACTTTGTCATAAAAGGAGCAAATTGTCTGGCTAAAATGTAGCAACAATTTAAACTTAAATACAAGAAAATGCATGTTTGTTTTGGATAATTTATACAAATGGTGCTGCTGGGAGCATCAAAGAGCAGCGTTTAAAAACGGGGTTTCTTAGTGGGACCATCAAACTCCTCGCGGACCCTGCCATACCCGGGGTTACCAGGACCAATTCCCCTAGGACCACCCTGGGCGAAGCGCTCGTTGCGCTGTGGGTGTCAATTTGCCAGGGAGGCAGATAGGAATGTGGGGAATAAAGTATGAGGTGTGTTCAGTGCGCAAGCACACAGTTCATGTCCATATGGAAGTGTATATAAATGTATGGCAATAGAGATGATTGGTTTTATATCGTGAGCAGATTTATAACACAACCAGCAGGAGACACATCCGAAGAAACCGTTCGTTCCAATATGAAGGTCCACAGGTGCCACAGGTTACATACGGAAAAGGAAGAGAGGGTAATGCTTTTGTTAGTCAGTGCCTACCTACTGCGCTCCCTCCAGTGCATGCCAAGACTAGTCTATAGTCTCTACTTGTTGAGGTCTAGCATTTGGTAAATGCTGACCATATTGACCTCTTCACGATCATTTAAGATGGCAACAGATAAATACCTAAACCTCTTGATGGAGGCATTTACATTGATATATAAAATATATAAAAAGGTTATAATTAAGAGCTTTCTTCTTGTTGCAGGCAAAATTAATGTTTCCTTCTGGAAACATGTGAAATTAAAGTGCCACCATAACAAACTCTGATTTAACGGAGTTCCAAAGTTTTGTGAAAAGAAATAATGGAGTATAATCCTGTTGTCCAGCTATCACAGCACCTCTTATGGCACTGCATCGACTAAATGGAAAAACTAACTAACTAACTGGTGTCCAATGCGAAGTTTCGTAAGTACATGGACTGTACCAGAAATACATGTGTAGAATATTGGACAGAATTAAATATACATATTGCACAAGACATTCAGCACAACCATTTTTCCAACAAGAAAAGCAATTTGTTCATTAATGTGAGGTTTAAATTGCCATTTCAGACAAGTCCTGTGAAACTAGAATGGTGTGAGAAAAAGAGTGAATGTCTCAAAAGCCAAAAGTCCAACGGGGATGGAGGGCTTTGGTTTACAACACGAGCCTAACAATGGAACAATGTGGTAATAACACAAAGGATGTAATGTAGTAAGGATGTAGAATATAGTTTTTATCTTGAACTGGATCTACCCGACATCCACCTGCTCAGCCTACTTAATTAAACTGAGCTTTTATATTCAGATGTGACTATAAAACATCAGTGTGTCAAGGTGCACACGTCATGCAACTTCATGGATTGTGAAAACTTGTTATATTGCCAACAAAATGAACCGTTGGCTACGTTTCCAGTTCCCATTTCTAAAATCACTTTAAAAAATGGCAAAATGGTGCTTTTAAAATTCAAAGCAAGACTAAATAATTAGGCCATGCTACTATTATTGATCAAAAGCTACAAATGTGGAGCGCACCATTTATCAAATATAAAACATAGTTCACTAAATTGAAGCATATAATAACTGAACAGCAACTACAAATGTTTATATAGAACATCAAAGGGTTGATTAAATGGTTTCTGGAAATGTGTCAGGAGCTACAATGCTAACACACATTTAACCGTTCTTACTGTCGACTGTAATCCAGAAACAAACTTATCATTGGTACTACAATTCTGCCAGAAGCATAGCTCTCAAGCGTAGTCCAGTATTCACAAATTGATCACAAGGCTTTGCCTGCCCCCCTCAATTAATCCTGCTGTGATAATGTTTTGTTTTAACATTTCAGATGTTATGGCTTATACCATCAGCCTGCACTAAAAGCATCATTAATGCTCAGTAACAAAAAAGGATGTTGATGAGAAGGTAAAGGTTGCTGGTCCCGAAGATGAACTACACACCTACCTCGTGTCTCAAATTGGCTTATAGCACAAAAGGAGGATTTCACACTGCCACCCAAAAAATACACATAGCCTTCATTTAGAGACAGATGATGAATGAAACTGCTAGCACAGTATGAAAAAGGTGATTTAAAACTAAATAAAACACATTGTCAACAGTTAAAAGGAGAAGGAAAAAAAAAAAAACACTGGTAGATGCCATTCTGCCTCCGGTTCAAGAAAAAGTGCCTGTCCAGCTCACAATGAGACAGGGCTTGCAATAGCAGTCCACTACACAAACGATGTGATAAGAGTGAGCAGAGCCACTGAAGTCTGTCTACAGCTGTCGGAGAGCAAGTTCTTATGTTTTAGTGCAGGTTGACGGTTTCATAGCTGGAAAGCAGTAAGACTGTAGCTAACTGAGGGGGCTTGGCTTGCCTTTGAGAGACACCCTATCAGGCAGGCAGCATATCGGTCACATTCAACAACCAGCAATCCATCCAGAGAGCGCTGGGAACATCAAATCATACATATTCTCCCCATCTTGCTTGGCCAGCTGGCCTCCATGATTAAAAATCAGCTGGGAGTCTTTCCAACAAAAAGGAAAGCCGATCACAAACTACATTAACTACTGACTGCCATAAAGTGGGATACATTACCATTTCGTTGCCCATCAAGCCTCCGGCGGATGGTCCCATTCCTGGCTGTCCCTCAAAGCCCAGTCCACCCATGGGGAACTTCTGGTTTGCTGCACCAAAGGGCAAGTCTATCACAACCAACATAGCAACCAGTCAAACTACAACTGAAATAAACAAGCCATACAAACTGGTGTGTGGCGTGTTGATGGGGAAGCCAATTTTGTATCATCATAAGACTACAAATAATTAATTTGCATAGACACTGTGACACCTTAAAGGGAATCACATAACCATGTAAATACTACTTCAATACTACAGCCCTGCAGAAAAAAAATGTGTTTAGCTTTTTTCTAAGTATCTTAGAAAGGCACTGTTTCAACCTTATGGTCATACTGGAGGCTGTAGTTTGTGCTGCTGTTGAATTGAATTATACTGAAAGGATTATGATAGTAACTGATATACATAGGGGAGTTTTTTCCTCTTTCCTCAATGAAAGAATCAATCAATAATGAGTAAGTAACTTACCACCCATGTTCAGAGCTCCCCCAGGGTTCATTCTCATTTCCCTGTCCCTCTGTAATGAAAACACAAAAATCATTAAACCAAAAATAACATTTCATGTAATATTTACTCCATTGTTTATATGTAGTAATTGTGTTTAGTCTTGCACTCTCGACTTACATCCATGAAGTTGCCCATCCTGTAGTTCTCCTCCCGCTGGCGGCGCATCTGTTCTTCCATCTCCCTCTTGCGAATCATCTCCTCCTCCCGCCTGCGACGCTCTTCTTCTTGTCTGTTTACGGAGAGGAACAAATCTTAATCAAATGTGATCCAAGTTTTAACAAGATTAGGGCTGAAAACGGTTTCTCAAGTAACTGGAGTAACTTTATCTTACGAACAACATGCCATGGGGACCACCACAATCAACAACTGAGAACATAAAATACCTGATCTGCATCTCCTTCCTCTTTTGCATTTCCTGACTGTGCAACTCCTCCATGCGCCGCAGTTCCTCCTGTCGCCTCAGAAGATCTAAGAGGAAAAGTGAAACCAACATTTAACTGTGGCACTTGTGACGACACACATTTTCTAGAGATAAGTAGCAGAAAATGTAATCAGACAGCTGCAGGCCTTTTGGCTCTTATTAAACCCCTGACAACAATACCACTAAACTTGCCTTGTCTGAGCAGGTTGGCCTGGTGCTCGTGGTACGCGTCCTCCATCTCGCTCTCAAGCTTCTCACGGGCCTCGCGCATGTTCTTCTCCACCTGTTGCCTCTGCTGCTTCTCCATTTCATCCAGGGATTTCCAGCGTTTGGAGTACTCGAATTCGAAAGTGCCTGGTCGAGCAAAACGGGGAGGTTCCTCTCGCTCTCTGTAGACACAACACCATAAACAGGATGTTAGGTTTTAAATTTTCACAATAAAATTTGAAATTACTGATTGAAATAATGCTAAATACAGCATCCTTTCTCCTCCTTCCTCTGATTTACACAGGTCAACATCTGCTCCTCCACACAGGGGATTGATTTTTAACAGCTGTAATCCCTGAACCGTCCCACCCACTACTACTGCTGCTGCAACCCCCCACATCAGACCATCTGCTGCTCACACAACAATGACTTCAAAAAAAATAATTACCATAATAAAGATGATTGAATCAGAGACACTCAAACTCAATATAGGTCTACTTATCACCACAAAGGAAAACATATATGTGTGAACAGTGGTATGCTTACGCTTGATATCTGGGATTCTTCTGTGCCAGCTTCTCTGGAAGACCATCTTCATCATCAAACTGCTCCAGAGGCTCGACAACAACAGGTCGGGGTGACCTGAAAAGGGTGAAAAAAGGGAATAAGTAAGGGTTTCAGGCATCTTTCACGGAGGCGTATTGTCCAACCAACTGAACACAATACAAAAGTGTAATTTGTTTCAATTTAGCTGCACTTACGTGGTGAGAAGGAAGACGCCCTCGTTGCAACGATCCAGGGCCTTTCTGGCAGCGGGTTTGGAAGCAAACTCGACAATACCCCTGCCTGTGGAGCGCCCACGGTCATCTACAATGACGATGGCCCTCTCAACCATTCCAAACTGTGAGAAAGCTTCTTCCAGGAGCTCATTGGAGACAAACGGAGACAGATTCTTTATAGACAAAGCCGCAGAGTGTGTAGCAAATCGGACACGTAGGGGTCTGCCTTTCATTGGTGTGTCGTCCAGCTCTGCTTTTGCTATTTCTGCAAGTGCACGCGACTCCTGCAAAAAAAAACATAGGTAACATTATTATTATTATAGGATGCGTTAAACCCAAATTAACATTTTTCACAATAACTGGATGAATGGAAACTCGTACCAATCGGATGAAACCAAAGCCTTTGCTTTTGTTGATGAAGACCTCGCTGGGCTCTCCATACTTTGCGAACAGCTTCTTGAAATCTTCCTCTGTGATGTCGTTGGGCAGGTTACCGATGAACAGACGACACCGCTGCGTGTATGTCTTCTCGCCGGGTTTCAGCAGCATGGACAGCGTTGCCCTGAACTCCTGTTGATAGACAAGATCATTTAAATCTCTAATCACTGCTAAATTAGTTATCATAATTAAACCGCCACCCCTGAAATGTGCAGCACCTTTTGTCATTAATATGTAATTATACTGAAGTTTTTAGATTTATCAGTGCTTATTTATATTAAATAATTACACTTCTGTTATAAACTCTACTATCGAATGTCTTCTTGTCTATATATGTTGTTACTAATATAATGTACATATTTTAAACTCATCTTGTGCTTTTCTTTGTATATTGTTGCTATATATTGTAAATTAAAGCACATATTTTATAATTATTCCTATTTCTAATGTCTTTTTTAAAACAATTGATTTACATGAACGCTTCTGGTTCAAACCCAAAGTCACACAATTATAATCAGACAACAAAGTTAAATAAATGTAAAAGCATGGATGGATATTATATAATATTATTCTATGTTATTAATATGTGTATCGATTAATAGTCACACCGCCCATCCCCCCACAGACACGGTCGAATAAACACGACCTATATTCCCTTCAGTTAGTTCTCTTTAAACTAGCGGACCCGAAATAAGTCAAGAAAACAAGTTGGAATCAGTGTAAACAAACAAACAAACAAACAGCAGATTTTATCTTCTTTGTTTCGTTGGAACTTTTTGTGTCCGTCAGGGTTTTTTGGACAAGATGGCGGACAGCTGCGGCGACTAAACTAGAGTGCGCCTGATTTCCTTCCCAGCTAGTGCCGCCGTAACGTTCGCTGCAGTGGACAATAAAACCAGCCCAGAGGACAGACCCCGCCTTTTACCTCGTGATTTAAAATATGATTATATTTTAGAGATATATTTTAAAAAAACACACGTTTGTCTCACTTTATTTGAATGTTGTTGAAATGTTTAATTCTTAAAGAGTTCACAATAATGTCTTTATCGAATAATGCACATTTGAATTGAACCGACCGCACGTTCACTCCGCCCGCTCGGACTACGCTGCGTTTTCAAATCGAGCGCACCGTTAGCCGCGCTGAATAAGCTAACGGCTGCTAACAACAATGGCTGCCAGCCCGAGCAGAATATAAATATTATAAATTATACTACAGACCTTTGACTCGTTCCCGTGTGACTGTGCGCCGCCGTCTGTGGCACTCATCTCCTCCCGGTCTTGTTTGGACTTCATCGGCGGGGGTCCGGTCCTCTGGCCGGGCGGAGGGCCGCTCCTCTGGCCGGGCGGAGGGCCGCTCTTCTGGGCTTGCTGCGGCCCAGACTTCGGGCTCGGGTGTGGAGGCTGCTTCTGCCCGTTAGCATTCCCAACCGGCGACTTCAGCTGCGGGCTCTGGTTCTGGTTCTTGTTCGCCTGGTTGGCCGGAGGGGACGTGATGCTGGGTTTCGGCGGCGGGGACTGGATCTTGGGCTGGGGCGTCGGGGTCGCCGGTTTCCGCGGCTCCTCCGGTGGCGGCGCCGGTTTCTGCTGCTGCTGCATCGGGCCTTTCATGGTGAGAGCCGGGCCGGGGCTCGGTGGAGGGATGATGGGCAGCGACTGGTTCTGTTGCGGCTTCTGTGGCGTCATATGCGGGCCCTGGTTCGGCGGCCTGTTGAAGTTATTGTTCCCTCCCCTCCGGTTGTGGTTCTGATTCTGGAAAGGATGGTTCCTGAAATTCGGGTTTCCCATTAGCCCACCCCGCATCGGGCCGCCGGGCCCACCGCCGCCGCCTCTGCGTGGCTGGAAGTTATTCATCCCCAGGCCGCCGCGATTGTGATTAAATCGAGACATTGATCCGTAAATCAGCGAAAACTTAAAAATACTTAAAACGTTAGAGATGTGCTGCGTAACAACGGCCTCCAACCGGCGTCTGCAGGTCGAGATCCTCAAAATGGCGACCGAGCGTCGTGTATAAGAAGGTCTTTCTTCTCCGAGCTGAGAGCCCCGCCCCCCTCTCCGCTCATTGGTCCGCGGCGGATTCTTCTTCGTCGGGTTTTAATGGCGTTTTGCAAAACCAGCGTGTGGGCGCATTACCGCCACCTGCCGGACCCGACGGGGAGCAGCGGTAATGCTGTAGTGAAGTATTTATTATTATTTTATGAATGTGAAATTTAGCCAAAATAAGGAGCAAATTAATGGTATTCTGTTAATTAATAATTCTGTTAATTAATGTTTTAAAGAGTTCGGTCTAGACCTGCTCTATTTGAAAAGTGTCCTGAGATAACTTCTGTTATGAATTGGCGCTATACAAATAAAATTGAATTGAATTGAATTGAATTAATTTTACTGGAGAAATATTGTGTTCTTTAAGTAAAATGTGCTCACTTGGCTCAGAATAATGCCACATGTACACACTGAGTAAACAAAAGAGCACTTGTCTTCTGTATTTAGGAATGAGGATGTTTTAGTCTTTTAAATGAGCTAATTCATTAGACTTTGGGTATTAATTCAGTTGTGAAATGGAAAGCTGTAGCGGTACGTTTAACTGTGCCATTAAACCAACTGAAATGCATGGTATTAATGTATTAAAGGATCTTTGAATTTTATTGGGAGCGGGTTCCAGTCTTGTGTTTTGACTTTCTTTGGTGGGGTATTTGGATTTCCCCTTTTGTTTAGATGGTTCTCAACCTTTTGTCAAAGACCCCCAAACTGACACACAAGGCCACAGACATGTATTTCATAAGATGTAGTCACAGGGATCCTCGTGTAATAAGATTGGGTTATTCCATAACGACCTATAATGTAGACAGATTAACAGTGAAGAATGTGAAACCCTCAGTGGACTAACTACTCAATCAATTGATTGATTGAGAACAATTACTTCCCCAAAACAACATAAACCTGACCACTTATTTATTAACATACATACAGTAAACACTATTGTTTGTTTAAACACTCACAGTGATCATAGTCCATCATCATAATGTGTTAAAATGAACGTCAACTGTAATTCTTTCACCAATCTGAGTTAACAGAGCTTTAATAAAGGGTGTTTAAACTCACCCAGCTTTTCCAGCCTGTTTAAATTTTGATATTTGTGGTTGAGCAGACCAGTTTATTAAGCAGAGGCAAGACTATATTTATAAAAAGGTTGGGACTTTAAAGGGAGTCTAAAATAATAATAAATTTAAAGGGATCACAAGGTCATGACTTTTTCTGTGTAGCAAGGATATCTAGTGTATATTAAAGCACTGATAACACTTTATTCCATTACAGTACACTTGTGATGTTCACTTAAAGGTCCAGTCTGTAGGATTTGGTGCCTTCTAGTGGTGTAGTTGCAGATTGCAACTCACTCGCTTCTCCCTCCCTTTCCAAGTGTGAGGGAGAAGCTACGGTGGACGCAAAAGCAGTTTGGTTTGTCAGAGAAACATGGCAGTTCAACACGGCGGCCTCCACAGCAGGCGACCCGCACTGTCTATGGATATAAACGGTCTCATTCAACAAAAAACATATAACAAAAACATAACGATTCCTATATTGAGGCCATTATTATGAATATTATATTCAATTTCTGCCAATAGATCCTCCTAAATGTAACACTCCTTTAATGGATTCATGGATGGACTTTATTCCAGTAGAGTACACATTCATTATTTTATTACTGTTATAGTCCCTCATATCTATATTTTACCATCCATCATCTGATATACAGTAAATCAAGCAATGGAAAATAAAAGACGCTCAAAAGAAATACTTTTTTTTGGTCATTTATTCTGCATACAGGTGTTTTGGAAACAAAAAAAGCGGCGAGACAACCAGTCTCACCTCAACATGTTTTCTTAATGTTCATCATTATAAACAGACACAAAAAAAAGGATAAGATGACAACGGTGACGAAACACAACAAAACATAAGTCCAATAAACAAAAAAAAACAACACACAAGTAGAAAGTTTAACTGACAACAACAAACAACCCAGGAGACGATGCGACGTCGTCACATCAGGGGAAATGTTGAAATAATAATAAAAAATATTTGAAGGTGTCAAAGAGGACAAAACAAAAAACACTAAATAAAGAGAAGCAAACGGGCTGCATCAGAGATTTTAGAGTGATGGGAAAACATAGAAGGACCCAGAGATAAAGGAGACATTCATTGATTAGTGAACAACAATCAAAACAGATGTCTTTCCTCCTTTGCCACTTTTTTCTTTTGTTTAAATCAGGTTTGAAAACAGCAATATAGAACAGATAAATCATGAGGAGAGCAAAATTAACATTCACAAAGGAAAATGCAGAACACCTGATATATATATACATACATATATATATATATATATATATATATATATATATATGTATATATATTAGATTACAAGTTGTTCAAGATTATCTTTTTATTTTAAATTTGTAAAATCACCCTTCAGTTATGTTGGAACAGCTTCTTGCCAAAGCTCTCCCTGTGTATAGCCATTTGTTTGTTTTAATACGTGAACTATAATAGAGTTGGGTTTAACTTTAAATCTGACCTTTTATGTTCTATTAGTGGGTTACAGTAAGTTGCCAAAGGAGGGAGCTGGGAAGTGAATACTTAATAAATGCTCTACGCTAGTTTTAAACTCGGGACTGCTTTGTTTGTCGTGGAAGAAGACATGGAAGGAAGCAGATTTTCCAGAGTTTAAAACTGAAAATCAACTGGAACTAGTGGAGAGAGGAGGCTGTTCATGGGTGGCGGTTGAAACAGGAACACTTGAATGAGGGGAAAATGTTTTTTTTCTAAAAGAGGAAAAGTCGGTGGGAGGAACAGTGAAGCGACTCATGGTGTGCAGTCTGTGCGGGCCTGCAACCATTCTGCAGTGATGCATTATTTCATGCAACTCATACTGGTCAGTCATTCCCCTTTAAAGCCTACAATCTTATTTAAAAAAAACAAAACAAACAAAAAAAAGGAAGTCAAGTGAGGTAATTTAACATAAAGAATCACATAATCAAAGCAGGAAAAAAGATCGCTAACATGCAGGTGTGAAATAAACAGCACCGGGTGGCAAAAGCATCGATTGATTAGTTTTCTTTTATTTCAGATGGAATTTTATTCATATAATTCAAGATATTTTATCACACTCATTTAAAAAAAAAGAAGAAGAAACATGAGCCCCCCCGTGGATGTTAGTACTTTAATAAAAAAAGGGGCCGTTCATAGTCAAGTGGTCAAGATTAATGATGCGAGACCCGGACAGGCTGCGGTGCTCTGTCGTGGGGTTGGTGGGAGGTGGGATGGATGGGGGTTTGGTGGGAAATCAGCTGCTCTGCCTCTAAAAACCAGCACCCGAGTCAGACTGTGTGGGACTGCAACACTGGAGTGGAGCTGCAGCCAGGCCCAATCTCACCTGGCTCATGTGTTCACAGGAGCTAGCCTGGCTATAAAGTTGTAAATTACACGGCGGTTTATTAAACCGCAGCCAAAGCAGCGTCCATTATTTCACTGTGCAGTTATAAAAAGGAAGATTATAAACAACCGATATTTCCTGAATGAGAAGTCAGTCCCACCTTTTCCTCTCAAAGCTGCCTAGACGTGGGCGAGCCTCCAGATTTCAACGTGTGAAAGTTCGATCAGATTTAACTCTGTGAACTGAAAGGAGGCAGGTCAGTTCGTGACAAGAAGCAAAATGTGTCTCGGCCTGTTCCACATGGTAATGAATGGGAAGCAAAATCAGGTCTGACTGCACTTTAACAACAATAATCAGGTAGGTGTTAACCTGTTCATCCAACTCAGTCTTATTGTTGTCTCACAAACTGACACAGTAATGAAAGAGAGAAAGGTGTGGCAATAACAGCAATGGAGGATGTGACAGCTGGGGAAAAAATAACACGTTAAAGCAAAATGAGGTAAAAGCGGAGAAGGACTGAGGTTGTGCGGAGGCGACAGACAGAGGATGTTTAAATAAAACCAAAGGGAATGTATTGTGTGAGTCAGTGTTTCTCCCTCCGAAAAGGCTAAGACTTGTGAGTGTGAGCACTTGGTTATGTTATTATCAAATTAGTGTGTTTGATAAGTTTTCAGTGCGAGTGTCGGTGAGTTGGGCTGCATGGAGAAGCGTATGTTTAGTTTAGCGGCGTCGATCGAATCACAATTTTTTTATGCGCGTGTTTGTTATCTTGTCGATGTGCGTGGAAGAGGGGGGTGCTCATGGCTGTTTCCTGTGGGAGAATGGCAGATCTGGGGTGAGAGGTCAGTGTCTCAGAGGGGGGAGGGGTCACAGTGGGGATGAGGTGAGGTCAGATTCGGGGCAAATACTTCTCGATAAATTCCTTTACAGCTGCCATCTCCTGCAAGAGAGCCAAACAGATAACTGGTGAAAATGAATCACATCTGTTCCTTAAATCATCACCAAATGCATCAAAAATGTTCACCAACAGGTTTTGTTTTTGGTATATTATTTTACAAATCTGAGTCACAGTGGATGCAACCTATGGTGGTACAGTACCTGAGGACTGGAGCTGTGAGGGAGGTCTGGGTAGGTTTTGAAGGTGATCAACTGAGGGTTGACTATGGATCTGAGTTTTTCTGCCGTCATGGCGCCAAACGGCACTGGGATCATGACGTCCGCCTCACCGTGGCACTGCAGGATCGGGATGTTCTTGTGGCCACTTGACGCCTGTGGGACCGACACAACATAGACTTGGACGATATCCTGCTAACCAGTTTGCCGTTTCACCTCGTCAACCAACACAACAAGAAGCAAACAATACCAGACCGACGCCTCCCATAATGCATGTGTTAGTATCATGGATGGAAAGTAAAGCAGCCCAAAAACCATATAACTTAAAACGTAAAACTGTGACTGTACCGATGGGAAACTCCTGTGAAGGGGTAGCCAGCAACTGAGGGCCACAACGCCGGCCAACTGATGCTGGCAGGTCAAGGCGGTATACAAGGACAAAGCCCCACCCTGAGGAGAGAGGGAGGAAGCAGACACAGAGAGAGAGAGAGAGAGAGAGGTTTATTACAAGCATTAATATACATTTCTTAGTATATTGTGTTAGAGATATGAACCCTGTGGAATATAACACAATGCTAAGATATGAACTCCGACCTGAGAGAAGCCTCCAAGCATTATACGGTGTGGGGGGATCCCATTTTTGACCTCATGTTCGATGATGGCCTTGACTAGAGGAAACCAAGAACACATTTTTGTCATTCAACACATCAGAGAGACATATAATATAATGCAGATTGTCAAACACACCCGTCAGATATTATTGATCAGCAGCAGATAGCTCGATGCCAGGTTGGTATGGTGAGTGCAGACAAACAAAACATAATCAAACTGTCAGGATTGGTTTAAAGTTTTTTTTACTCTGAAGTTAAAGGAGTTGCTGTGCTCTCTGACCACTGGGAGGAACCTCAGATCTTCAATGTACTGTCTGTGACAAGGTCAAAGTTTAAAACTAAAGGTCTGTGTATGCCTGAAACAAATTAGTGCCCACGAACTGTCGATCATGTGTGTGTTTATGGTTTCAAGATGCTGTTTGATTACAAGATGAGCATTTCTTTTAGCCGTACTGACAGCTTAAGGTTTTTAAAACAAGGTTTTCTGACCTTTATTAAGGCTGAAAATAAAAAGGAGATTGTGCTTTTACTTCTTGTCACTCTTTGACTCTGGAAAGCCTCCCACAAAGTCTAAGATAAAGTCTTTAAAAAGCAGCTACACCCCTTTTGTTTGGTCTTTTCCTGGTTATATAAAGTTGTATATTTTATGGTTTGTCCACTTTATTCTGCTTGTTTTATACAATCCGTCGTCTCTCTCTCTTTTATGATCCCAAGTTCTCCTTGAAAAATGCTTCGATAATAAAGTTTGCATTATGTGTATCACATTTTCACAAGACCAGAATATATGAATCCAATCATAGTCTTTACTTGAAGCTTATAATGTTAACATATAGTTCATACAGCTTAAAGAATAAATACTCTCCAAGCCTTTATCATCACATCTAAATTGTTTCTATAAATGAAAGTGCAAAAAGTAAAGTTTACAGATTTCCTCACATGTTGTTATTTTGTATATTTTACCAGCTGTTCATATTAACTTTGCAAGAATGTTTTCATCATGATTATTTAATGCTTGATAGTTTCCACAACAAGGGATCAACAGACAACTTATCTAGTTATGAATGATGAACACAGCAGGAAATATGACAACAGGTCCGTTTCATTTCAAATATATAAGGATGTTTGGTTTACAGGAAATATGTTTTTTTGGATGATCTTTTGGTTATATTTGCCTTAATTTGCTGGTAAACAGTAAAGACAGGAAACAGAATCTACTGTAGATCAAGGTATTTATCATCATTCAACACAAGGTTGTACAACGCAATGAAAGTTTGTAGCACCGTCACACTACACACATAGCAAAACATAATTATAAATGTAAACTTTATTTTTAAAATGTAAATGATGCAGATGTTTTTTAAAGGACTAGGCTGGTAAATATTTAATATTTCAAATCCTGTGAAACACCAACAATGTATTAATCCTACCAATAAGTATTGTCTGTGTATTTAAAGGAAGATATATCTTAATACTCTGTTCCATAGAGCTCCATTGTTGACAATGTCCATGTTACGATGAACATTGTTTATTTTGACTCAATCCCTCGTACGCAGTCTTTTTCTGGAACTACTCACTGGAGCACCAAATGTGTATTCATCCGCGACGTAAAATAGTCCCCAACAAATGCACTATTTAAACCTGTTTGAAGGAACATTCGCTAAAAGCTTTGTTTAAAGATTATATCTTCTGTAGGAGCCATTTGGCTTGGAGCAGAGTGCCACAGACAGGAGAGGGACGTCGGAAAGTTCTGAGAGACAAACTACTGATGGTTTCTGTCTTTTCATGGGATTTAATGTCAATAACAAAAATATAGAATAAAGGCAGCCTTATCCTTCAACGCTTACATCATGCGCTAATGGACCAGCATTTAAACATTGAACTCACTGTTGTCTGCTGCCTTCTTGATTCCAGATTCGTCCTCTGGGGATTCGGGGCTGAGACCCATGAGGTCAAACCTGGACACATGCAGAGGCGAGCGTTTTTTAAGGAAATCAATAGACACAATCACAGTATTGTCAGCACCAATATGGGAGCCCATTGTGGTTTCCAGGGAAACAATAGCGTCCAGTGTTGAGCTAAAAGGCCGTCTCTTTCATCACGCTAACTCACCACGCAGGCATCGTCGACTTCAAGTTGAGAGTGACGGGAATTGGGGGCCTGCGGGGGGGGAAAAGGGGAGGGAGAGAAATGAAAACATGACAGTCAGTGTAAGGAGATCACCAGCAGCCAGGAGCTAAATGTTGGTGGATCGATTAAGTCACTCAATAAGACAGGATGACGGATAAACGATTGGTTTGAAGCTGCTTTTGCATTCTGAGGGGAAAACCGTATATTTGCTTTACGGGGTTAACATTGTACTTCACTCAACACAGCGTGAAAGATGTTAGTTTCCCTCTGTGCCGACAAGTGACTTGTGTTTTGGAGCCATAAAATATGACGGGATGACTGAGAAGGAAAAAAAAAAAGACTTACGCGTGGGGGGCAGATGTACTTGACGTGAGGCAGCCGGATCCCCATCAAACTGTCGGCCCACCCATGCCTGACAGAAAACAGACAGAGAGAGAAACGCTTTGTTTCTAATCCGGTTTCAGCTAAATGCAAAATGTAGAACATCATGTATACTACAGAGCGTGAGCAGCATATGTGGTCACTTCTACACATGTTAAAATCAGCTGCACTTGAGGTACAATTAGATACTGAAGAGAAAAACACCCACCACAGGGGATATTTGTGGAGACGCAATGACACGATTTAACATTGGATCAAGTGACTCACCCGACATCAAGAGCTTATTTGAGAGCTTTTTTAAATTAGTCATTCACGATGTTGTAAGTGGTGCGTTATGAAATTAAACCACATGAATGTGGGCATCAATTAAGGCATTTAAGCCGTATTTCCTCAAAATGTGACAATGCTCCTCGCTTTTGGTAACTCTACTCTGTGTAGATTGAGTGTGGACAGTACTTTCGATAGGACCCCCTCGACGTAGGCGGAGCGGATTGTCAGAGCGACACAGTTGGGAAACAGCGAGGGAGCTTTACTTTGGTCTAGAGTAGCTGCAGCCTTTATTCACTGACAAACTGCAACCTTCACTGTACATTCACTGCTACATTGACAACTTTACTGCTCAAATTCACAGCTCCCTTCACAAGCTGCTACTCTTACAACCGAGGATATGAAGGGATAGTTCTTGATAACGCCTTCACTTCTTAAACTGACCACGCCATGGTTTTTGCGGTGTGTGTGCAGGATGTCTGCAGGGTTTTCACATCACCTTTTAGTATCAGCTCAGCTCAGGTGGCACCAAAAAAAGTACTGTAAATCGTAACGTAATGTAAATCCAAAAAAAAAAAAAAACGCTCTAGTTCTTCTAGTCACAAGTTGAAAAGGTGCAAAAATACATTTGTGTTTGTGGCTAAATGGGAATTAATGTGTATTTTATCTGGATACAAGACACTTAAAATGACATAAATGATGCAAATTTAATGAATCCCACAGTAGACAATCCTAAACATAACTCACATGTATCCACTATTTATTACTCCATATCCATTCATATGACATATAATATTAAACCATACATATATATTCAGTACTGACATCAAACAGTACTTTATTTATTGATCTAAACAAACCCTTATCACCACCAGAAACATTAGATTTAGCTGTTAGAGCAGGTCTGTGTCTTTAACAGCATGGTGATCGTCAGGGCTGCATATTGTTTGAACTTTAACACAGGGGCCAATATGGTGTCCGAGTTTGAGTACAAAACCAAAAACAACTTTAATTCAAAATCAAATATTAAATGTAGTCTAAACACAGACATCTGTACTAGAACTTTGCCTGAATAAAATAGTCTGAAAAAACATTTTCTACATTTTCTGAATCTATTTTTTCAAAGCAAAACCAAAACACATTTTGGTCTGTACCAAAAAAGTATTGAGGTTTGACACCAAGCAAACGTCATGAAAAGTATCTGCGGTGATATCTGAAGCAGAAAATGAATTTATATTACGTAGAAAGTATACTTCTCTACTCTGACATTGCTCACACATACGTTATGTAATAATAAATTAATATAGAAAACAAAAACAGGCTTATTGAAACTTTTATACTGAACATGAATTAAAACATCACTCACCCTGAGTCTCCTAACCCATGAAGGAAGATCACCTGCAGCACAGATTAAAAATAAAACAGTGGTTAGGACTCGCTCCTTTCAGAACTATTAAATATTCATAATTTACACAAAAAGACTGGAAACATTTCTTAAGAGACACAAAGACATTTAGGAGCAGGTAGTGATCAACCGTACTGGACACATTAAAACAGATGTTATGTTATTTTATGCCACTAGGGGGTGTTTCACGTTAAAACAATAACAAAAGATGAGGTTTGATGACCCTGTTAAGTAGCATAGGATCATGGGAGTTGTTGTCTTTAGCAACATTGCCATCAGCTTCTCCCGGTTAGGATCCCTTCAGCGTTCCTCGTTCAGGATGTTTCTACTGGGAGCTGAATTATCCTACTGATAGCGTAAGAGCTAGATGTCCGATGACTAAAATCCTTCATTCAGTTAAAGTTTATATTATAATAAGACCAGGATCTATTAAGCATATTGTAAAAAATGGGGCTTAAAACTGGATAAAAAGTCAATTAATGGCAGCATCTGGCAGACAACCACAACGCTGACCGAATAAAATCACAGATTTCTCTGAGTTTGAACACTGTTGGAAACATTTGGGATAATGCAAGCACACAACTCAACAAAATATATAACACAGTCCTATTGTTTTTAGACATTTTAATGCTGAAATGTTACATCTTATATCTTAAATTGCTGGAGGGAGGAAACCTGTGAGCAGTACATTCAGTTCCTTCTGGCACTTTACAGATGACACACAGGATATAAAAAAAAAAACCCTCACATTGCATCAATCTTGTGAACACCATGTACTACTGCGAAGAGTGCATACTTATTCCAAAACAGAGGAAAAACAGGTGCCAATCTGCCATTCTTGCCAAGATAAGCACTCGCTGCCAGTTTCCACACACACTACTCCCCACGGAGAAACCATGAAAAGGAATAACAACAATTCAGAAAGCTGGCAATTCACCGCCCGCTTGTTGGCTGGAAATCAGTGACTCAGCTGTCTTTGCAGGGACAAAAAACACTTTTCCTTCATGTAGGGTTTTGAGACGAGCTTCAAAGCTTTGATCCTCAAATCCCGGCACTGTACCCGACAATAGCTTGTTTAATTTTTACACTCAGATCTAGCTGAGCGTCCACACAATGCGTCTGCTCACTGTACTTGTTACAGCTTCTGCTACAGGTGCAGCTACAGGTGTGGCTTCTCTTCTCGCAAAGCAGTGGTGTTTATTGGGACTCAGACGCAGAAAAATTACCATTTTCTTCTTCTTAGTTTAGCTAACAAGGTGTTCAGGTGATGCATTAAAACCTATGTCAATCAATTAAGAACGTCTCAGGTTTAAATGTCATGCTTTAGCTATTTGTGGTGGGGCAACGCTTACATCTAGATCACGGATTTTATGTTAAGTTATATAAGTGCCAATGCCGTAACAACGTTTTCCTTTGAGGAATAAATTCTTCAATAAAAGAAGCCACAGTTTTTAGATGTTAAATGACTTAACAAGAACTTTGTCTCAATCTCAATATGACAAACAAAAACACATCTGATCAAATAATAAGTAAACAAGATAATAAATCTGACCTTTTGTTGTGGGCTTTCAATATTTAACATTTATGAAAACTCTGCACGTGTTCTGATAATTCAACAATTGAGTTTAAATGAAAAATAGGAAAAGTGGGCTGCTTATAAAACCCATAATAATCATGACCTCACTGAGCTATGGAAAAAAACTATTGAGGCTTGATACAAAGCCTCATTGTGAATGTGACGTCCAACAAATGCTGAAATACTAACAACAACATTTGTCTCATGTGATGTTTATATTGTATTTAAATGAAACTAACTTTCAATAAATGTAGACAGAATTACTGCCTAGGTGCCATAATATGATACAAATCCACTGAGTCAATCAATACGTTACAGTATGTTGTAGGACAAAAAAAAGGGAGATTACAAGCTAAACATACAGAACTCTGGATGTATGAGAACAGGTTTGTTCTGGTTCTGAAATTCTCCACCTGGAAAATCAGTAGCCAAAGGATGGGAACGTCTTTTGGTTTTAATATCAAGCACTACAGAGCGCTGACTGTCTGATCTAGTTTAGTGCATTAAGATGGAGGTCTGGAAGGTCTGAGAGGCAATCAAACTCTCTTCTCCTACACAAAACACCGGCTGAAAAGATTCAGATTGAATCTGTCGGGCAGCTTCAAGGCCACAGAAAACCTTCCATCATTAAAATGCCACGTTTGATAGCCACAGCTCAAAGTGTCCTTGAGCTAGACGTTGGACGGCCCTTTCCCCAGCCACCCTCGACCGCTCAGCGACTACAAGGCGCTTTGGGGTTTTCACTCACCGCCGCGGTCTCCTTCTCCATCCCGGACACCGTCACAGCCTCGGCGAGCAGCGGCACAGACATGTTGTTGCCACACATACACTGTAGAAGGTGCTGGGGTCGGAAGAGAGGACAGTAACACCAGAGGTCAGCTGACTGCAGATCACACAGGGTGGAAGAACATAAAATATGTTGTCATGTGTATTGGGATTAAACAAAAAAAAAGACATTTCAGACATTTGCAAAATCCCCCTACTTATTCTCTGAGAGTTTCTAGTGTCTTCCTATTAACCAATAATGTGTTCATATGACAGATTTAACAGGAAGTGTTCAAACAACCAATCGAAGTTTAAACTTTAAAGCATCTTTTATTCCTTTGGCTGTACAGAGAGGCTTTAAGGACTTTAGGCCCTCACGGTCTGGAGCATTTTCTGGATGATAAATGTTTTTTTTAAATAGCACAAAAAGATATCAGCGTACACAAATAAACTATCTTTCTTCTCAACCAGCTCAGGGCTCTAAAGTCATTTGATTACGTCATATTAAATTGGGTAAGACTTGTTTCCTTTGGTTTCTATATCTGCAGGACAAGTGAACTGTGCAAGCTCAATAAAGCCGACAGATCATTTCCACCAGGGACACGTTTTTAATCTAAGTTTAATTTACACACTGAGAACTTCCTAAACACCGTCTTCGGACCGTCTGGCTGCAAAAATCCAGATGTAGAAAGAGTTGTCCAATGTTCAACATACACCGATTTCTATTATAACTCAGAACTATAAGTTTAAAGAGCAGCTTTGGTTGGTTTTGCCTCTCATACAGGCTGCCATACCCTCTGATTGGTGGCAGTTGTTGTACTTATTCAGAGCTTAATGCTGACAAGTGGATTTTGTTTTACACTTGAAAACATCTAATATCTGTTTCTTAAAAACACCTAAATGATCTGCGTCAAACATATTATTTATGTCGAGGCATCATTATCAGATTGCTGAATTCCCAAATACATATAGAAATATATACATATAATGAAGGAAACAGTGGGGTTCTCCTGGAAAGCACAATAACAGCAATATGTTAAATGATCTTTTGGCTGAAGTGAAACCCGCGTGCACTGTAGGTAACAAAATATTTATTATAATCGTCTTCCTCCAAACCTGTCCACCAAAGTCAGTCAAAACTGAATGTTAAAAGACACCAGGATGTATTCAAATTCAAACAAGTGGAGCTTATTCAAAAGAGCAGACCTGCAGATACATGTAATTTGCTGTGTCGTGTACAGTGGTATCTGTCATGTCAGTTTTTTTTTTTGACATTAGCAATGACAACAAGCAGCTCTCTCTGACGGTTACAAACCCCCGACTGGTTATCAGCGCGGTCATTCAGTCCGCAGACAACAAAGCTGAAAACACACACACGGCAACACATAATAAACTGCAGTCATGAGGTATGTGTTTGTGCGAGTCGGGCAGGTTTCTGTAGTCAGCAAGTACCGGGACTCATTAACTAAATCTCTCTCTCTCTCTCTCTCTCACACTCACTCACTCACACACACACTCACACACACTTCCCTGCACTCTGTATACCGGCTGCAGACGTCCATCCCCCTGCGCAGTGACTCAGCCATCGATAACAAGCGTGAGATCAGGTTGAGGTTTTTACAGTAAAGTCGGGGCAATAAAAGCCTTCCCTCCTTAATGCCCTTTAAGTTCCTGGTGATGTGGGACAGAATGAGACAAGACGGGACGGGTGGATCAGACGGTGCGCTATTTGATTGGTAAACAGACGATGAAAAGACGGTGTGGGTCGTTGGGGGGGATGTCTGAAACACGGAGGTTAATGTGTAAACCTTGAGCGGGGTTATGACACACGGGTGTTAAAAAATTTCCACTGCTGATATGGCCGAGCGGCTAAATGCTGCTCAGCTTTGCATGTGGCCTCGGTGGCAGGTGACAAATTATCATCTAAAGGTCACATTCCCTGCAAAAATACGGGGAGGTGGACTCTAAATGTGCCCCAAAGTGCTGACAAAAGGAGGTTGTTTTGCCCGGCATCCTGACCCCCTTGATAAATGAGTAATAGGAGAATAATAACTGGGCTGTTTCCCGGTTAAGCAGCGCTCTCTTTCTGTGCTGTACAAAGCTCTGGTAGGAACCTGTAAGCATAAACAGAATAAAAGGACATTTTCCACATGTATGAGGTTTACTTATTATGTTCAATACTGTCTAATAAGTTCAATTTTAAGGTTCTTATTCTTATTTCCATTTAATGCTACTTAATGTTTCCACTTCATTGCATTACAGAGGGAATATATTTATCTACAAGTTATAGGTACTAGTCAGCTTTCAAAACATATTATGAACACACAATTGTTCCCAACCTTTTTGACCTGTGTCTAGTTTCAGTCCCTTGTTACATTTCAGACAGATATGAGTTACACCAAAGAGAGAGTTCCCCTTTAAATATAACTGTTTGAGGAATATTACACAAAAGACATTGATGCTTCACTGTGCTGATAACACTTCTGTACTTTTACTCAGCTAGGATTTTAAACGCAGGATTTCTACTTGTAGAGGAGCATTATGAAACTGTATTAGTACTTTAACTTCAGTAAAACATGGTACTTCCTCCACCACTGAATGTTTTCTACCATTATATCGACTCCGTTTGAGCGAATGACACAAACACAATGTGATGTGATTAAAGCGTGCATCACAAGATGTGCCTTCACTGTCACCAAATTCTAATTCAGTGTTTTAAACTAATGTAATTTAGCCGCGCTGGGGCCTGAGTGGGAACAGACAGAGCCACATAGATAAGACGACTGAAAAGCAGGCCGCACACACAAGAAAAAGGAGGAGTGAAAGAAAGAAAGAGATAATAAGGAAAGATAAAGAGGAGCGATAGATGGCGAAGTGCAGGAACATTGGACAATCTGTTCTAACAAGTAGGACAAACCTGAAAATAGGCAGCATATGCAAAGAAGCGATTTAATCACTTTTATATCCTTTTTTTTCCTCCCTCTCTCTCTCACACCTGTTATTATGCAGCAGATTAACAATGACCTGTTACGTGGACTGCCAGCAGAAAGCAGAGTGTGGGGTTTTTGTTTTTGATGCATGCTCTGAGAAACAATGGCTCACTCGCTACGCTTCTGGTGGAGGCCGCGGTTAAAAATAGTGTCACGCTGTGTACGAGCATCTAGTCCAAATTCATATTTAAAAAAAAAAATACCCCAACTGAAAAGAGGACTTGTTCCAATAAACAAATTCAATTTAATCTGTGACTTGGGAGTTTTGTTCTCTTTTTAAACGAATGAATGGATCCGGCAACAAGCTGATTCTTTCATTTTAGATAGCTAGATACTTTATTTATCCCGAGGGAAATTAAATTTTTAACGACAATTTGCCAGAAAGGTTGAATATTTAAGCTCTGGATGACAGATATTTATTAGTTTTTCGTCATTAAGTGTTCGCCTGATGTCAAAGGCGGTAATTAGGATCATTATCTGTTAAATATGTTTTCGATTAATCGATCGATGAATAAAACGTCAGAAAAATGAGCGTTCCGAGAGTCCACGTTAACATCTAAGAACGTATTGTTTTTAATCGATAATAAGTCTAAAACTCACAAATACTGGATGTAAAATATGAATGAATTAAACATTGATTATCAAAATTGGTAATTTTCTGTCGATCGACTAATCATTCCAGCTCTAAATTGGTGTAGCTGCTAAAATGTGCAGATTATATCATTAATTTTATAATATGAGTTTTTAAACTCGCCTTGAACTCTGAGGACATGTTTCACTGTTTCCTTTACCTTTACTACATTAAATGATTAAATGATGAATTAAATAATCTTTAGTTGCTTTCCTAGTATAACTACGTGCTACTAAAAGGTTACAGTTGATTGAGGTATGGTTGCTTCACCGCAGCCGGGGAGCTTTATTGCATGCCATTCCCCACCTTTTTATTGTTCTACTACAACAACTACGTTTACTTCTACTTCTTCTACTTCTACTACTGCTGCTGCTGCTGGCATAAAATGCTCATAAATACGTTTAAAACAGTTACAGGTTGAGTTAGGAGATACAGCTAATTGATATAAATATGGATACTGTCAAACTATAGTGGGTATCGTCTTGCATTTTGATTTTAGAGTAAAAGGTTTTCCTGATATCAAAGTAAAGCTGCACAACATGGTAAAAACATGATATTGTGATTATTCCGGCACGATTTAATTAGAGATTAGTGTGGGCATTATCATATTTAGCATCAAAACTACTAAAATCGTGGTGTTGTGAAATGTTTTGCGGTCTGTAGAAAACAAACGCGCTCTCTTAAATCTGGAGAACAAGATTCATAAGACAGTGCAACTCTTCAGAACTACAATATTTCATTATAACGCCGTTCTGTTCACATATTTTAATCCTAAAAACTGCAGCTTGTGCATTCAGATTTCGATAACATTGCAATGAATTGTGCAGCCCTGTATCAAAGGCAGTGCTGTAGTTCAGTGATATTTATTCTATAGTATCACACCAGTGATAAGGACCCCCCCCAAACACACTGTCAGATGGCTGGTTTCTTTCAGGAGCCACAAATCAGGAGAAAGAAAGAAAAGGTCGCCTCTGTTGCAGCTAACTTAAAGCCCATCACGAGTCTCCATCCTGCATGACTCCAATTACATTAAAGTCAAACACACACACAAAAACAGCGTGCTGCAGTCTGTGTGTGTGTGTGTGTGTGTGTGTGTGTGTATAGGTCGGAGTATAGCACACACACACACACACACACACACACACACACACACACACACAGGCTGCAGCATTCAGACAGCTCTTTGCTCAATGGCTACGGATGGCTGGCAAACAACAGGATAATATGCGGCACTGAGTGACAGGCAACCTCCTCCCCCTCCCTCCCTCCCTCCCTCCCTCCTCCTCCTCCTCCTCCTCCCTTACACACCATCATCCAGCAGCAGCAGCTAACCCAGCTCTCCGCCCGCCGATGGAGGTTAACAGCCCGGTTTAGCTAGCTACTGTAAGGAAACACACCGCGGTCAAAAAGAGCGAACCGAGAGAAAAACAACAACAACAACAACAACCCACAGTTAAAAAATAACAATAATCAGCATTAGCAGAGGAAGCAGGTGGAGGGGGGGGAGAGGAAGGAGACAATGAATGGTTGAAGCTATGTGATCAACCCCAGTAGTGACGGTATCCATCAGGACAAAGGTTTAATCCCCACACACACACACACACACACACACACACACACACACACACACACACACACACACACACACACACACACACACACACACACACACCACCCGGTGTCCAGCTCAACGGCTAACGTTACGTTACGATTCAAATTCGGACCTCCGCCGCGGGCCGTTTCTCAGAACCCCCCCCCCTCTCGCTCCTACCCCCCCTTACAAAACCACACAAACCGGCTCACACGAGAGTCGGTTCGGAACCCGGGGTCAAAGCGGGTAAGGCGAATGAAACCCGCGGCCCGCTAGCTGACACAAACGGGTCCACACTCACCGCTTGCTGTCCCAGTTCTCGACGGAACGGAACTTCCGCTACTGGCCCGCACACACGAACCGGGGGCGGGGACAGAACGTGGCGACGTCATCGCATAGCAACGCCCCGCTGCCGGTCACGAGCGTGGATATAGTGTTAAATGTTGTTTTATTGATGTGTAAATATTTATTTATGTGTGTATTATAAGACAAATACTGCCGTTTTATTGGTGTTTTATTTAATTTTTAGGCATTTTTAAAGGTTTACAAAATTTTATAATTTTTATTTATAATACTTATAATGTAATACCTCCATGTTGCGTCACGAAATACAAATATAACGATCATTTGCCAGAAATTATTTTTAATTTAATGTATTAAGCTGTGGATGGAAATGTGCCAGTGTTTAAGCAATCAAAACGTTTAAGACATTATGCCAGATATTTATTAGATTTTTGTCTTGGAGTTGTTGTAAGTGTTCACCTGGTTGTAATTAGGGATATAACTGTGACCACCCCTCTCATTGTCTGTTCAATATGTTTTCAATTAATCGATTGGTGAATAAAATGTCAGGAAAATCTCAAGTTGTATTTTCTGATTGTGTTTTACCTGTTTTCTTCACATCTTATCTATAATCAATAAATCTTGTCATATGTTCAATATCCAGTGGTTGACTAAGTAGTGTCATTAATCCTGAAACACTAAAACTTTTAATTATAATTTACAGTTTAAAATACAAACTGTGTTTTAGTATGTACATTATCCATCATTGTCAAATATTCCACATAATTTGATTTATTTACAACTCGGGACCATGATCACATGGTACGGAGCATTAACAGAATATACAATAATAACAAAATGATAGCACACGTGGTTTGTCTGAAGTGTCTGACTCACATGAATATTGTACTGTGAAGCATTAAAAAGCACTTATTTTCTATTCAGTTTGAGGTATTGGCACTGAAATGACTTCTGTAGTAAAATGAGACCCTGTTTTTGTGAAGACACACAAAGTACAGAGTTCTCCAGATGTCACTTGTAAACACTTTGAGCAACAAAACTATCTTTATGTCGGGATACAGCGAGGGGTCAGTGAGGATTTAGATAAACTGACCATTCAAAGAAACAATATTTGTTTCTAAAATGTTTTGAAAAGAGCTAATGAAAAGAATTCTTCCATTTTGCTTTAATTTCTATCTATAACAACATTCTTGGAGAGCTTAAACATCACATTTTCTCCTCACACATCCTCACATTCCCATAAATGCACTCAAAGGCTGCCACTGACTGCATGAAGACACACTGCATAACGAACAGTATGAAATCATGAATGACATGACCCCGTTAAACACTTTAATAAACAGAGGGAATCGACCTTACGCTGCAGGAAGCCCTGGATCTGGATCTGGATCTTCCTTATCTATTCCTCTCTCCCCCCCTTTAGATGACAACAACTGTTCCTAATTAACTGTGTCAACATTTCATGCAGCTGTTGACAATTCATCTCATCACAGAAATAAACAGAGGAAAGAGAAATGGAGCACTTTGGACTGTGAACGTCAGTCATTTCACAAACCACCAGGTGGCAGAAAGGGGCGAATAATGTTAGTTTTATATGTATTAGATTAAACTTTAGACATTTAAAAGGTGCTTATGTATCCAGAGTGGCTTCAAGTATGCATTTTCTTTATTTTTTTTATCTTTCTATGTATTTTTTCTGCAGATATTTGAGAACAAATGCAGATTCTTTATGTTTTTTATGCCTGAAAATCACCATATGAAGCCTATTATGAATCCAAACACGGCACATAAAGTATTTAATTAACCAAAAAGTAGCCACCACTTGGTTTATTTCCAGTCTTCAGCGTTTTATCTGAGCTGTCTCTTTATTGAACTGGTTGATAACAATAGACATGAATCAGAGTATACGGGTTAAACTGATAACAACAGACGTTTATCTGCGTGACAAATGTTTCATGCATTTATTATTAAGCTTTTTTTGCCCACATTAAGCCTTCACTCTTTATTGCCGTAGAAAGCAACAACTCGGCACTTCCAGACACATCTGAAGCTCCCTGGCATTCAGATTTTTTCGTGCTCAGTCCCGGTCGAGCTCAACCAACCGGCCGCTGCGCAGCGTTGAGCTCATCTTTGACTTTTTTTGACTCCTGTCAAGCAGACGCCACTGAAACCTCCTCTTCCTCCTCGTCCTCCTCTTCCTTTCTGACTCTCTGAAAGCGTTCAGGAAATGAAGTTGGTTTGCGGGATGATGCTCTCCACTTTGTGATCTGCGGGGTTTGCCGACGCCTCGTAGTTACAGATGGTCACTTCATGTCTGTGAGCCTAAAGAGTGCAGAGGACAGACCGACTTACAGCATGGACAGACATTCATAGAAATACGGCACTTCAGGTCAAAACTATTAAATGATCCCCAAGTGAATAATATGTTTTGTGCTGTTATGTTGCAGGAAAACAGATAAAAAGAAACTCTAAATGACTTAAAAAAGATATTGAATTAAAATAAATGGAGGGATGAGGAGGGGAAAACAGCCGTTTATACACTTATCCTACACTTAATTCACTTAAACACAATGTGAGACTGGCAGGGTGGATTCAAAAGTTGCCTGACCAGTTGTTCTTTGGATGTATAAAACGCTCTTAAAGCTTGAGCGAGTTCTGAAGCTGCTCAGATCTCCTGCACAAATATAAACTTTGGTCAGTATGGACATCAGTTAGATTCTCCACAATTCAAACTTCAGTTCATTTTATGGAAACTCAATCATTTATATGTGATTCAACAGCCTAATTTTTAATATTTATGCTGGTTCAAATAGATCATTTGATAGTCTTTTCTGTCTTTTTGTGTAAAACTGACATAGACGCCTGTTCCAAATATAACCAGGTTGAATTCAGCAAAGCAAAAAAGTTGAGGTTAGTTTTACAGTAATCAGTATCTGTTCCTGGAAACCTACAAGCAACATGTTGAAGATTAACAAAACATTAATTAATGATGAGAACATCCACTCACTTCCAGTTTATTACCTTCATAATGTTCAGTTTTCGAGAGGTGTATCACATTATTACGGTATTTTAAATGCTCAAGAAACAGGAACAAACTGATTCAGGATTCAGCAGACTGACCTCAGAGTATTCTCCCCTCAGGCCGATGTAGTAGACCCTGGTGTTCTCGGCTCCAAAGTTCTTTGAGATGTGCACGGAGAGGTGCTGAACATTGGAAAACCGAGCGATCCTGGAAGTGATCACAGAACGGGCGGACAATGAGACGACAGCTTGGAAATGCATTTGTAAAAGGATGGATCAAACATGTCCATCCTGAGCCTGTTGTGTGTGTAAATGTAATAGAAACATGTTTGACATACTGAGACAAACTGAAAGAAAAACAAAGAGTTTGGTTCCACTTGTAGTTTGAACGCTTCTTTGACCAGATCACAAAGATTGGATTTCGCTGCATCGTCTCATTGAGCGTCCAGGATTTGCTCATGATGCATCTTTAATACAAGCTACATTCATTTATCATCTCTTGTGTGGCCGTTCAGGGTTCAGACTGCCTGGATTTTCAGTCATAAGCAAATCTAAAAGTCTTATTAAAAGTCTATTTTGCAGTAAAGTGACAACAATTTCAGTCGGTTTCATGCAGATTTGTCACTTAAAAAGGTAAATTGTGTAACATTTGTGCCGATAAAACGTACATACAACTGTGTATTTTATGCTATTATCAGTTGGCTTGTTGTCACTACGTTTACATGGACACTAATTTTCCATTATTATTTGATGATTGTAATGAATGTGGCATATTACGTTTGGATTTTCCTAATTAGGTCTTATTCCAAATGGAGCATTTTCTGATAAAGACATGTGGGATATGCCGATATTATTCTGGTTTTAGAAGCATTTTTGGACATTTATACAGCGCATTCAGAGTATACTGTGTGTCATTTAGGGTTTTTACCACAGTCTTTGACTAGGAAGGCTGACTGATGCCCAACAGGAAATCCCCCACATTTCTGGTCAGAAGGAAAAATACACCTACTTTTAAACATTATAAAATTACTTTTTAACGTCAACATGTGTTTGGATAAGTTCAAATATCGCAACGCCAACCTTTTCAAGGAAGTGTTTGAGTGAATAGAAGAGGGAGGCCTTGTTTGAATGGTCAAACAAGTGTGGCATCGATGGAAAACCCTGAAAAAAATCTTCTTTTAATGCAAAGAGCCAAAATGGCTCCAACTGTTCCACTTTTAACACAATATGACTGCAGTTTGACTCTGTTCGACTTACAGTACGTCAATAAATGTATGTTAATCGGAGCACAGCGGCATGTAAACAGGAATATTAGTGAAATATTCATTTTCATTAGCCATGTAAACAGCTTATTAGGAATATTGTCTTTTTTGGATAAAGGGCGACTTGGAATCTGAATATTTTGTGCATATAAACAGTCAGTGTCAAGTTAGCATCCATGATGTGGGGGAAGCTGTACTGTGAGCTGGTTACATGGAGCCTAATATTCTGATTATAAATGGTTTAAAAGACCAAACAGAATAAAAATGCACCATATAAACACCTCAACCAGAATAAACAGACTCAAACTGACTCAAACCTTTTTAAAGTTTCAAAGTTTTAAAGCCCAGAAAGTACAACACAGATAATATCGTCAGTAGATATGCACTGTACCTGTATTGATCTTAATAATCTCTCCTTCTCTCTGCCCCCTCCCTGTCTGTCTGTCTGTCTGTCTGTCTGTTAACTGATTTATTAGTTAAGTGTATTCCTACTTGTACCACATTTCTTTTAAAAATGTTATATCTAGAAATTAAAAGGTACATAAAGTAAATCAAAATGTCTCTAAGAAACGAATGAGACAAACAAACCTATAATCTTACTGATCTATAAGATTATGAAGATTTATAGTCAAACCAATGAGATTATAAATGTTTATAATCCTATGAGAGAGTAAAATTAGGACCTTTTAGACTGAAGTATAAGACTTAATCTAAGAGGACAACCTTATAAGATGTTCAGTGTGTCAGGCAGCTTGTTTGTATGCTTTAAACTCAATAACGTCTTCCTGTTCGAAGGCAGGACGTTGCCGAGGGGATTAAAAACAAAACGGTTCATGCTCTCACTTTGTTGGATACTCCAGTTCAGCCACAGGGTCTCTGTTGAGTCTGAAGGCTTGTTCAGGTTCTCTGCCGGTGTCGTCGAAGGACATCTGAGGGATGTTCTTGTACCTGTAGCAAAGAGACGGTGAAGAGATCAAACTAAGATATCGTCTGTTCAAAGTAACTGAAATATTATTTATTTATCTACACACTCCGGTTGACTTCTCCAAAAAGGAAAATAAACAAAATCAAACATATGATTTAAATTAATTCCCTGAAAAGCGCTGTGGTTGGAAAACTGTTGCTCTCAACCATCCAACGCACACACCAGCCTGTTAATCACGTACTTAAAGGCTCCCTATCAACACCATAGTGAATCCAAGAGGAGCAGGAAAGTGAACAATCTCAGTGTCTTTAAGATTATACAAACAAAAAGTAAACAAAATGATCACATTTGAAGTATTAAGAGAAGAAGTTAATCATAAATTAACTCAAAACACTCAAATATGGCTCCAACAGATAAAATACGTATATTTTATGTTATAAAATAAGACGACATTGCATTGTGTGTGTGTTGATGTGTGTATAAGTATGTCTTCTGATCCAACAGCACCCTGCTCCCATTGATCGGTCAGCGATCGTTATCGGCCGATATTGCCTCTAATGAGTCTAAATAATAAATGACTTATAGAAATAGAAATACACCCACAGTCCTCATGTCATTCTCTGGAAACACAGTTAAGCTCTAAGCTGCTCCCAATAACAGGCTGTGGTTTAGGTTGTGTCATGTTGTCAGCCAATAAATACACAGTTGTCGATTCATAATTGAATAATTAATGCATTTTAATACGTCATATACAATTCTGTTAAGAATGGTTAATAATAACAAATAAATAGGGCTACAAAAAAAATGTAATAGGCTTTAAATAGACCCAGTGATCAGCCTCAAAACCTCTGATAGGAGCACCCTTAATATTTATGTTAAAATGTCATAACGACCCTGAATATGTGTTTATTAAAGATACATTTAATTGGTTTTAAATCTATAAAAGTGTGTGAGACCAGCAGAGAACCGCTGGTTTAATCCATCTTCACCACTAATCAAAAGGAGCAGCGACAGCAAACTCACAGTCGTATCTCAGCTGGATGAGAGTCGTCATTCTCTCCAGAGATGATGATTCCTTTCAGCTTCACGCTGCCTGTAAAACTGAAAAGAGACGACACATCGTTTCTTCAACACTATCTCTGACAACAACAGGGCGAAATCAGAGAGAGAGAGAGAGAGAGAGACGCTATCAGGACGCTGAGAAAGGCAAGACGAGAGCAGAAGATTAATTAATCAAAAGGAAAAAAAAGATCACATTTCATTATAATAAAAGCAATCTCTGACTGTCCTCCTGTCTTCACTCGTGTGTCTACAAATATACTATTTTTATTTAATAAACGTGTTTGCAGGCAGCAAAGCATAAAATGTGTTTAAACAGGAGAAAAAGGTTAAAGTTCAGGATTACAATGATGATGACTCACGGGATGTTGAACAGCAGCTCTTCGTCTGCGTCGCTCTCGACGTACTGAAAGAAAGAAAAAGATATAGGGTGAATCCTTTCTGAGAAACATTATCAGACATTATGACATTGGGAAACTGGTCCCACTGACCCACACTGTCTCTTTTTCCTTTTTAAAATTTTTTTAAGATTAAAACTGATTTTTAAAAAAATTCTGGTCAAAATTATGAGATAGAAAGTTGAAATTGTGACATAAAAAGTCTAAATTATGAGGTAAAATAATTACCATAATTCTGTATTTTTGTCTCATAATGACATTTTATCTCAAAATTCCCTCTTTTTATCTCAAATTTTTGACTTCACATTATTATTTTTTAATCTCAAAGCTAAGTTTTCATCTTATTTTTTTATTTTACTGGCAGAAATGGGCTTCAATAGAAAAGTGTTTAATAAATAAAAATAACTAAAACTACTTTTAACTCACCTTTACCAGCTGCAACAGTGAAGCAACATACAAATAAATAAATTTAACCCAGTTATAAAATATAAGTGACTCTAAAATAAGTTATTCTGCATAAGGAGCATTATTTTTATTTACTTTTTAATACTTTAAATATGTTTTGATGGAAATATTTTTGTATTTCTAAGTAAAAGATGAATATGTCTTCTTATTATTTTATTATTAATTTACCAGGGTTATTAATAAAATTGTATTAAATTGAATAACTGCGCAGCTCCACACAGCGAGGCTCGGCGACAGCAGAAGCCCGTCAAACTGCACTCTCACCCGGCTAACATTCCTCACACACACCGCTGAGGGTGGTGGAGGTAGGGGGGGGCACAGACGGGGCTACCTGTCCGGGGGGAGAGGCTCTGTAGGGCGGTTACCTTGTCCCGGTCGTTCCGCTGATCCCACGGTTTGAACACCAGCTTCCCGTCCCCGTCTCTGCTCTCGTTCAGGCACTGGAGCTTCTCCAGGTCGATCCGCCGGTACAGTCCGTACTCCAGGCCCCTCTCCGCGGGCTCATGCTCCGCCTCGCAACCGCATCCGTGCCCGTGACCATGACCGTGACCGGACATCGTGGAGCTGAAACCCCGCAGCGAGAGAAAGAGATAGATAAAGAGAGATAAAGAGAGATAAAGAGAGAGCTGTAACAGTTGAGTTACAGGAGAGAGAAACCAGATCAGTTAAGTTTCACTTCGCAGCCTGAAGCCATCAGACGGTACAAAGGCACTTCCGGGTCGAGATTTTCAAAATAAAACACGTCCTTTTCTTATACTTTAGTGAACTGACGACCACCTGAGTGATGTATTTTATGGATGTTTCACATTATATATTAACTGCATAGCAATAACAGTAGAGAACAACTGGTAAACTGTACAATGAACATAAATAGAGAACACAATAACTGCAGGAAGTTTGTGTAGAACAGATTGATCAGATTATTTCCTGTTAATATTGATCAGAGATTAGTTTTTATACAAGCTCTACAAGTCTCTATGATGTATTTTTATATTTTTTTAACAATCGTGCATACTTAATTGGCTTCCTTCTTGCCAGATTCAGTGTTTCCTTCTCCTTATTCTATTAGCTTTTTGATTGTTTTAACTACTTTTCTAAAGCAGAACAAGCTTTATTTAGCTTTATTTAGCTTTATATAGCTTTATATAGGTTTATCTGAGAGTTAATGCTCTTGTGTTCAAGTCTTCACCGTGTCCTTCTCGTGTTTAAATCTTAAATAATAATCTAAACTTTAAAAATATCAAATTCATTTAGTTTTCTTCACAGAAATTAAGGAAATGCTGAGAGTCTGTTTGTCTGAAGTGGTGCTAGGAAATTAAAAATGTGGGAAAATGTTGTGAAATGAAAACAAACTTTGGGAATCACATATTTCCAAAGAATAATGTTGACGCTAAATACAAATTACCTGCAGGTTATTTCTCATTTTCATGACTATATGTTGTCTGCATTTAGTTTATAATGTCTTTTCTTTTTTTTACAATATCTTTTACTGTTTTATTTGAGACTAAAATCATTTTAATGGAAACTTCAGGTCTCCTTGATATGTTTTGTTATATTTGATAATAAGCAGCAAAAAAAATTAAGCGAATTAGATTGGCACACAAATAACTGGATTTACTAAACATAACATTTAATTTACTTTACATTATACCTTATATCTCATACTATATCATACTGCACTATATTATACTATATCATGTCATATTCATATGTATGTTTATGAAATTAGTGAATTATGTACCACATTATATTTAAATTTTTAGTAAAGACAACTTCCAAAATAATATCATAATCATATTGTGTAATATTCTGATATAGCTGAAAGTATCATATTACTTTTCTTACTGATAACTAATTTATTATTTTATTATTTTATACACACGTAATTACTTATTCTATATAAGTCTCTTTATTTATCTCTATTTATTCTGTCTGCTGTAATTTCTCCTCTGGAGCATCAATAAAGCATGAGCCAATAGCTTCTCTTATTTTATTTTGAAGGGGAAGAGTCCCTCGCCGGAAGTCGCTCTCACCACCATTGTGCTAACTTTACCTTGCTCTGATTGGCTCACATCTGTTACCGCCAAACCTCGAAGACTGTCGCAAAGCCTTACAGGTGTCGTAAAGTAAAAGCCTCAGAACCACAATATTAAAATATACTGCACTGATTTTATTCTAATGCAGTTTAATTAATCAGCTTTTATCTGTTTTAATATTTAAAACTAGTTGCTAAAATACTATTTTATCTGTTTCCCTCTGAACTTTATTGATAACAAGTTAAATTTAAATAAAAGTTATTTTAAAGAAAAGGGTTTTACAAATATTCACTTTTCTGATCCTCATCACAGTTTACAGTCAGTTTTAAATCTGAGAGCTCTTTTAATGAAGTAAATATAGTAAAAAGTTAAAAGTAAAAGTCCTGCTTTCAAAATCTTACCTCAGTATAAAAGAATTATGACAAAAAATATACTTGTGGGGTCAATTTGAATTAGTTTATAAACTGTTGGGAATCCTAACCAATAATTATAATAATAATAATATATAATAATATATTAGTTGATTTATATTTTGTATTCATATTATATATCTGCAAGGTAACTAAATGTAGTATATAACAACAATAATAATAATAAACAATAATAATAACAGTAAAGTAGAAGAAAGAGGGATTTTTATCCCTCTCAGATTAATTTGAAGTATCGAATGTTTCACAAGAAAAAAGTCAAATATAGTGAAAAGCCGTGTATATATACGCAGGTATAATTTTAACAATTTAACACATTGTTTTTATTTCTCTTTAATTAAGTTGTGACCCCTCAGATTTATGCACAATCTTCTAAGACTCAACTAAGAAAGCACAAAAATGCTTTTCACCTTCTGGTACAGAAGCTTAAATCACAAATACGGACTATTAAATTTACTAGAAACCGACTTTTGAAGGATGGAAAACACAAAATTTAGGTTTAATTGGGGATAAATGCCACATTACATGAATTAAGTTACCTTATATAAAGAATATACTAATAATAAACTCTGTTATTGAGGCCTAGAGGACAGACGGTTACTGCACCTCCTCCTTTATCTCGGTGACATTCGTGTTGCTTCATAAACACACAAAAAAGACTTGAGGGCAAAAAGTCAATTTTAATAAAAATGACCATATAACATTTATTAAAATCTAATAAAATTACAGTTTAAATCTACTTCCTTTCAGGCCCATGTCGTGGGGTGCCAGGTCCCAGTGTTGAAAATAAATACATCTCATCATTGTTGTAGACTGAAGCCGCAGACGTCCTATCAACCTTCTTCCTTTTTTTTTTTTTTGTTATTGTTCCTCGTTGTTCTCGTCCTCCTGCGGTCTCTTTCAGCCCTCGCTCAAGCTGTTTGTCACAGTGAAGCAGATATAAACAGGGACACACACATTCAACAGCAGGAAAACATGATCTGAAGCCACAGGAGGGTTAAAGTAAGTCTACAATGCGTCTCTCTCTCTCTCTCTCTCTCTCTCTGTGTGTGTGTGTGTGTGTGTGGGTAGTTCAATGATATCTTTAAAACAGGTTTAAATATGTGTGTTTGTTTGTTTTAAAAGCCTTTATCCAGCCAGCTGATGGCGGCTGACGTGCACCGTGCATGCCATTAAAAACAAAGAGTGTGTGAAGGTTTTCCTCATGTAGTGTATCATTTGATCGCAATGAAAAGTAACTGTTCTTTAAATGTAAAGAATTGTTGGGGGGGGGGGGAGAGTTTATGTCCCATTAAGTCCCGTAATAAAGTTTGATATAATAGGAAATAACAATCAGATCAGATCAATACCACTCACAAGTCTGCATGTTAAATACAGCCAGCAGCCGGTTACTTTAGCTTAGCTTAGCACAAAGACTGGAAACGGGGGGAAACGGCTAGCCTGGTACAACCTGACACCTCTAAAGCTCGCTCGTTCATTTCTGTTCAATATCTACAAACAAAACAACAACAAACATGGAGATTCTGTGTTTTTATGGTTATGTCTATTTCTTGGTTGGGACTAGTAACCTCCGGGTATCCTCACTCAGTTTGACCTGTTTTTTTGTCCATAAAACCCCAAAAATGTGGCCTTTTAATCAGAGGGTGGGTTTTTGAGCCAGAGCTGTTTCCCCCCTCGTTTCCGGTCTTTATGCTAAGCTAACCAGGCTGCTGCCTTTAGCTTCATGTTTGCCGCACAGATTCGAGAGTGGTTACCAATCTTGTTACCGACCGCTCAGCAAGAATGCAAATCAGCGTATTTCCCAAAAGGCCGAGCTATTCCTTGTAAAAAATGTCTGCTAGAAGACGAGAAAAAGTAACAGACTGTGTGTGTGTGTGTGTGTGTGTGTGTGTGTGTGTGTGTGTGTGTGTGTGTGTGTGTGTCCTTTGTATCTTGTAAAAAAGTTGCAGACTTAATTTTGTTAACACAGATGTCACACTCACTGACCGTCATTTACATACTCAAAGACCCCCAAAACAGATGCCACCACTTAAATAAAAAAAAAAAGAAAAGAAATAAATCAACCATTTTTCCACCAATACTGAAAAGTTCATATGATATGTGTGTGTGTGTGTGTGTGTGTGTGTGTGTGTGTGTGTGTGTGTTTAGGGATGACGGGGTCTCCAGTAAGTTTTTTTTTTGCTAAACTTAAATTAAAAACACAGCTGGAATTCATAAAATACATTCAGTCTCTTTCACACTATCGGCGGGTGAATCTGTTCTTGAAAGCTTTGATAGTTTTGGCCATCATCGGGGCGATTTCTGCAAGAAGACGACAACAAATCGACTGTGAGGTTAAAAGAACTCAAACGGGATTCGAGGTTTCTTCTTACGATCCTGAACACACACACTTACTTTTGACCTGTGGCTTGTCCCGGGCAGCGTGTCCTCCAACTCCTACTCCTCCTCCTCCTCCTCCTCCTCCTGCTCCTCCTCCTCCTCCTGGTGCCAAGGAGCGAGACGAGCTGGGAGAAGGGTTAAGCTGGGAGGAAGAGGAACTACCAGAGTAGTCTGTGGTAGCTGGTCTTATTCTGAAAGACACAGGAAGAGACAAAAGGTTGGTGAGTTATTATAGTTTCGCAGTTTTCCTTTTTATTTCTATTTTGTTTCCAATCCAGTTTAGTTTTTATTGTTTAAAATGTTTAGTTTAAATTATAATATAAGGAATATTTATCAGGGGTAAGATTTAAAAGGCTCAGTTATTACAATACAAACACATTGACTCAGTCTCTCTCTCTATATATAAGCACCAACGCCTCCTCGTGCTGGTTGTGTTGACAAATTTGACTGAAACTAAAGACATTTCCTGTATATTTTTATTTTATTTTAGTTTGTTTTGTATCGTTTCAGTTAGTTTTTTTTTCCAAAAATGTAGTTTTGAACTAAAATATTTTTTTCACACCTACTTTTAGTTTTTTGTTTAGTTTTAGTGAACTATAACAACTCTGGACTGCACTGAATCTAAAATAAAGCAAAGTGCAACAAAGTGCTGAACTAAACCTGAACTTTCACATTTCTATTGGGGCTGCAACTATTACTACTACCAACTACTACTATTAGTTTTACTATTAATCTCTCAACTACTGTTTCAATAAAGTGCCAGAAAATAATGAGAAATGCCAATCACACTTTTCCAAGTCTATAAACTGCTCGTGTTGATCAAACAGTAAAAAGTTATTTAGTTTACAAACATGTAAAAAGAAAAGCTCGGACCAGCGAATGTTCAGGATTTTGCTTCATAAATACATAAAAAAAATTGGCAAACCAGTTGACCAGTGTATCAGCGCTAAATTCTATATATCCTTAAAGGAAAAAGGTTTAAAATGCTAATTCCCATCACCACCAGGTGGCAATCAAGAATTGATGACGACAGAGAAATATATAAGTTTACTATTTAAAATACATGCTAATAAAGATGTAAACACTAAAACTGTAAGCAGGTAATTTCCATTAGTTCTATCGCGGTTGGGTCCGGTGGAAATTACCACACCGACATATCCCAACATATTGAATGAACAGCTGTTATAATATGATACAATATAATACTGCATAATATGACATAAAAAACACATTAATAATAATCCCAACGTTAATTAACTGACCGGAGCAACTAAGAGAGAAAGTAACTGGATGTGTTGTGATGTGAAGTGTTTTTATATGTCTTATATTATCTTGCTTATATGTACATTTAGTTGTGTGCAGGTTATCCTACCAACTGGCGATCTAAAGCATAGACCTGAGTGATCGGCTAAAATACAATAACATTTTCCAGGACAACATAGATTATTTCCAGGATATTTGGCCGTTTCCAGGACTGGAAAACTAGTCTCCAACTTTCCAGGTTTTCCAGGACTCGTACGAACCCTGAATTTTATGTATTTGTAGATCAAATCTATCTCAACAGTTGTAACTTCATTGCTAATGTTAAGCCTGTGAGACAGAGCTGATAATGTCCTGTTTAATGTCCTGTATGTGCAGAGCGTCTCGGCTGTATTGTGAATATTGAGACAGTGTTATCAGGCGACGCAGCAAGATTCTCACTTGATGGGAGCTGCAGCCGCGGTGGAGGCCATGGACGAACCACTAATGGTACCGAACTTCTCCTGACGGCGGCGGACGTCACGCGGCGGCTTGGCGACAGAATTCACAAACGCCATCTTAACCTGCCGACCTGCCGAGACAAACAACGCTCACACTTCAACACTCAAAGACCTTAATAAGTACGTTAACTTTCAGCATCAATCTCTGACATTTCTGTAGAATTTAATGTCCATTTTTGCCACTTTTTAGTGCCGATTAATATGAAACAGGCAAAAAGTAACAAGGAGGGTTAACAGAGGAGTTACTTTAGATCCCAAACTTTAGTTTCTCCAACCTTTTGGCTTGTTGGCGTGTGCGGAGGAAATGTTCTGGGTGAGCAGCCTCAGACGCTCCTCGCGCTCGTCGTGCAGCCTCAGATACATCTCCCTCCACGACTCGTACTCCTGAGGCGTCTCCCGCTTAAAGTCCCGCTGACAGTGACGCATCCACAGCTCGTCAGATTCCTCCGTAAACCACTGCAAGGAAAGGGAGCTCTCTACTCATTTTGACAACACGAGGATGTGAGGAAGAAACAACGTCACCATGTATTTCTGTAATGACTGTATAAACTGTGTTTGGGTTATTTATATATTTTAATGTCTTGTAAAAGTATCATTGTTCTGTTATTTTTGTCAGCATTTGTCAATAAAAACATTAAATTCCCAAACACAATAACTTTACTCTTTATGTTGCTGGAGTTTTTTTTTTTTTTTGTTTGTTTTTCTAATTTTGACAAAAACTATAAGATTCCCAGTGTTTCCAGTATTTTTCAGTAAGTCAATCGTTCTATAATAAATATCCTGAACTATTTATCTCCGTTCAAGGACTGCTGGAGACTCTTTACTCAGCCATTTCCTGGTTAGACCAATTTCAGTTTTGAGAACATTTCTGCCTCACTAACTTTGGTTTGATGGTTCAGGTTAGAATTAAGTTCAGTTTAGGGTTTAAAGTTGGGGTCTTGTATTTAGTTGTGATGGTTAGGATTAGGGTTGGGGGTGAGGGACAGAAACTGTGTGTTTGTGTTACCTGGTTGCTCTGCTCGATGCGGTACAGCTGCTCTGGCGTACATCGCTCCAGCACCGGTTCCAGGATCTCAAACGGCACTCCTCCCACCTCGGCGATGGCTGAAAGAGCACAGAGGCACCGAACAGTCACATCTGTGCAGCAGTGTTCCTTTGTTTTAACCACCTTGGGCTAACAGGCGGGTGGAGTGGGAAGCGACCACAGAGGAGTACATATTGACTCTCAAGCATTAGTCAGGTGACCGCGACTGCTTTCTGTTTATCTTTTATCCTTTGTGGTGAGCCCAGCCCTTCTTTCCCTCCACTTGAAGTGAAGTAGCATTTAGTATTAAAATATTATTAAAATAACATTATGAATAAGTGCTTATTTTATTGCAGTGGTTCCCAACCTGGGGGTTGCCACAGATTCACAGGGGGTCGTCCTGATTTTAAGGGGTGTATATCTCAGAGTTCGGTCTCATTTCTGTGAAGAAAACTAAATTATTAATTACTAAATTGTTATTTTTAAAGTTTAGATTATTATCGAAGATCTAAACTTTGAAGACCTGAAGACAAGCTATATTCCCAGAGCCTTCACCCTCTGATAAACAGCCTCCATCTGTGTTACAAAAGTTAAAAGAACCAAAGAGCTGATAGGACAATGAGAAGAAAACACTTAATTTGTAAAAAAAAAGAGAAGCCTATTAAGTCTGTAAGGTTGTTAAAAGTTGATTGTATAAAAAGTTCACATTCACAGGAAATAATCTGCTCGTTTTACTCAAACTTGCTTCAGTTATTGTGTTCATTGTACATTTTATCAGGTGTTTTCTATTGTTACTGTTATGCATTTAATATAATATAAAATATAAATTATTAATAGGGGGTCGACAGTTTACTCAATGATAGAAAAGGGATCCTCCGAGCTTGTGACTACACAGTTGCCGTACAACATGAAAGAGTGTTCAGCAGCTCCACTCACAGTCAATATTGTTCTGCAGCACACGGATGCACTGCTCGTACAAAGTCATCATCCTGGGCAAGTAAGCGGTCTTTGATCCTGAGTAGACCACCATCTTAGAGTTGAATCGCTTCCCTGTGAACCCGGTATCCTCCTCGTCGTTGCTGACAGGAACTGAAAGTGAAGCAGGGAGTGAAGGTCAGTCAGCGTGACACAGGACAGGATGTATTACTGGGTGCACACTTACAGACACGCTGACACATGCACACTTTTTTTTTTCTCCTATTCCTCACTGATGAATTTGTCAATGCTTTCTCAGAAACAGAGTTTGTTGGATGCACTTTTGTGGTTTGGGGGATTTAGGAGGATATTTAAGAGGCGAACTTTAAAGTTTTCAAGCAGTTTTTAACACTTTGGTCTGTCCTGGCTTTGTTCATTTTTCATTGGACTTGTGTAATATGTAGTTATTTCTTATTTTCCTTATGTGCAGGCGTCCAAAGATGTTCTTGTATCAAGAGCAAACTCTCCACAGAGGTCCAGTTCAGCTGGAAAGAAGCCATCCCCACATTTTTACTTCAAGACGGAGGGCAGAAAGAACACAGCCATAACTGAACTGAGCACAGCTGTGATCACTTTTAACCTGACATAATGTATTCTGTGTTGTATTGTATATGTTTATCTGTATATTGTCATCTATAATGTTTCTGCTACCTGCCTAGGGACTACAGATTGTAAATAGGCATTCTTGCTAACGCCTGCATTGTTTACATCTTTTATTTTTATATTTATGTTCATGAACGTTCTCTGCCTCCATCAAATAGTGTTTATATGGAGCACTTCTATTCAATTTGGGCTTTTAAACTTATTCTAATATATTATATACAATATTAGGCTCCATGTAAACATAGCTATTGACAAGAAGATCAAGAAGAACTAGATTACAATTTGGCATTTAACACCCAACTAGAAGCCTTCAGGCCTCGTAGGTTTTACAGCTGTACAGTTACAGTTATCTGTTGGGAGATGCAAAACATTCATCCCTGAAATGACCAAAGCAATTGGTACTTCAGTCAGTATCTACCCATGTGCTCCCTCAGTACATTCACATGCACACACCAGAAGAAACCAGGAGAGAAACCAGGTTACAAGGGTAATCAGAGAACGTGTTTACATGCACTTTAGTAACCTGGTCGGTTAATCTGTATATACACAGAGGAGGTCAGTGGTCAGGTTTCACCCCTTACACCTGGCCTTATTTAGGAAACATGGCTTACTTATTTCAAGTGTATTTATAGAGGCTAGTCTCTGTTTGTACTATTCCTCCCTACAATAATTTAAAACTGATTTGTTGACCAATTAGTGCAGAATATGTGCGTTTCTGGTTGACCACAACTATTTTTATTGAAGAATAGCTAACTTGCATTTCCTATAACTTCTTGATAATAAAAGCATCTTGTCGGTTTGCCAGTGGAAAAGTTTAAATGTGAAGCAGGAAACTGTAACACTAACTTATCACAGCTGCAATACGGCAGAAATCTGACGCACAAACAGTAGCAGAGGAGTAAAACTAAACCACAGAGATGTTTTACATGAAGTTTAAAGACATTAGGTTTCTGGAGAAAGGCGACCATAACCTGATGATAACCTTAAATGTATATAAAGGCAACGCACTGCAACTCCTCTTGAGGGTCATCGTGGCTCAGAAGAAAGGAACCGATGTTTCAAAAACAAGACGAGGGCTTTACCTTTCCGTCTCTGAGGGGACAGCGGCGTGACGTCGTGGATGGAGGGCAGAGGTCTGTAATTGGGTTGAATCGCTGGCAGAGGGATTTCCGGAAGAATTGCCTCAACCACCTGCAAACATACGTTCACATCAACAAGCAGGATCTGCAGACAACTTTCAAACTAAGAGTTTCACATGCAATAGATAATAAATGTTAGTATAAAAGTTAGTGGTTAGCAGTGAAATTACACAATAAGTTACAGGAATAGTTCGACATTTTAGGAAATATTCTCTCGGCTTTGTTTCCAACGGTTAGATCAAAAGATTGATATGACTCTCATGTTAGTCTGTTCAATATGAAGTTACAACCAGGAGAGTTACTGTAGCATTAAGACTGGGATCAGGTGGAAACAGCCTGATTTTAGAGGTGTTGTTTTACCTTTGGACAGACAGTGAACTGTTTCCCTGTTTCCAGTGACAATTTGTTTTATAGTGCTGGTCTAAGTGGTAGAGAAACTACAAAGAGAGAGCTTTTGTGACTCTCGGGACTCTAAATTTGTTATAGCCTTAGAAATCTTCAAGGTCACTGCTCTTCCCTGAACTATTTGGACAGTGACATACACTGCAGTTGCTAGGAAACAAACACAAGTCTACAAAATAAAAGCATTGCTTTGGTTCTTGGAGAAAATACCGATGAGCTAAAAGTTTAATAAAGTCTTAAAATACTTCAATCATCAGGGGTTTGACTCTCAAACATGCCAGGCTTTAGCTGTAGCAGGATGACTCTAAAGCAAAAGGATGCAGCTGAAAGTAATTGAAGAGGTCAAGAATTAAACTTGCAGTGACTTTGTGGCAGTGGAGAAAGTTATGAGCACAACAATATATTGGCTTATTGCAAACATATCAGTATTGTATAGGTATCAGCGGATGTCATCCGATATGCAACAATATGAAACTCGTTCCAGTAAATAATACAAAAGGGATTGTAGTTTTTACAGTACGGATGTTTAGCTGTTTTATTTCATGTTTTATTCTGTATTTTCTCAGTGTTCATTTATAGAATTGGTTGACAATGTAGCCTATATGTTTTATTCATCATAAAGTTATTTGATTAAGAAAGAAGTACCTTTGCACAGTCATATTGGAGCAAAATCTGCTCATTTTTATTCCAGTTAAAAGAATTCATTATATCAGCCTCCATATAAAGTCATTATCGTATCCGTCTCAAAAACCCCATATCAGTCGGGCTCTGTTATTCACACATTGAGCATTTACGGAGCAAAATTACTATTCATTTGGGGTCGTGTTTGGGAAAGTATAATCTAATACAATCCGTTAGACTAAACTATCACATAAATGCTAAGTGCAAACTAAACTTTGAGCCAGTTGCCATAAAGAGAGGAGCCACAGATGAGCAGCATGTGTCCGGGGAACAGTAGCTAGAACTTGAGTGAGACATTATGTCAGCTGTGTGAGTTATTTTAACCTCAAGGAAGGAAAAACTAAAAAGTCAAATGCAGTTTCTGCAATTTATTTAAATTTAATTTTGAATGTTTAAATGCTTTTAAACCAAAAATGCTGCTAGAATATTTGTTTCACAGTTTGAGCATGCTGATTTTTGGCTAGGTAAAGCAAAGCACATCCGTACAAATGTATTATTAACAGCTTAGTTGCTAAAGAGAGGGAAATAGACGGTATCGGATTAGTATTGGCAGGAACTCAAGGCTGCAGTATCGGACATCCCTTTCGTCTCTACAAGCTGCTAAATGCTCCTCTGTGTTCACCGGCCAGTCTAACTGTGTCTGTCTGCTGTTGCTGAGCGGTTAGAGCATCTCTAGGGTTTCAAGAGATTTTTTTAAAGAAAACAGACTGAGAGGCTGAACCGAACAGTAAAGTTGTGTTTGTAGCTTTGTAGCTGCAATCATGTAGAGCACGAGCATATTGTCAATACTTTAGAGACCCTCTTAAGTTTCACAACTCTTGATTTCCGAGGAGGTCACGTCTTATTAAGAGGAGCCAAGCTCTCCTGTAGTTTGCACACCTGTTTCTAGAGCTTTTTCACTGAAAACACCTGACTGCTGCGCCCGAAAACAGCGCTATGAGAGCGGTGAGAGTGAACTAAAACCGTAAAGTAGTGAGCTGAAACTCACTATAAAGCTCCGTAAAGCTGAGAGCTGCAGATTCAAAGAGATTATTCTCTGTAGGTTCTTTACTATGACAATATTAATCTATATAATGATCCTCTTACAGAGCGTCACCACCCTCTGCTGCGGCTGTTCTTACCCTCTTGCGTTTTTCCGGTGTCGCTGCAGCTGAACCGGAGCCTGAATGTGGCCTCTTGCTGCTCTGAGCGCCGTTAGCTTTGCTCACTTTGGAGGAAGAGGAGGATGAGGAGGACACAGGCGGAGGGGTGCGTGCATGGCGGGAGGACGACACAGAGGACGAAGAGTGAGACGGCCGACTGTGTGACGAGGATGACGATGACGACGTAGTCTTCTTCTTCTTCTTGACGGGTATTGGGGCGTCATATGTGAGGAAAGACTCAAAGGACATGGTGGGAGTCTCGAAGTCTTCTTCTTCCTCCTTGGATGGAGAGTCCTTCAGCACCCGCGGTCGCCCTGGAAACACAGCGGCAAATGGAAAAGTTAAAGGATGCAGTGAATCATGGGAATTTTACATCAGACACCTTCATCCAAAGTGAAGCTGATAATAAGCAGTGCTTCAAACTAAGGCTGCGACAATGATTCACCTGCCAGCTATTTTCTCCATTGATTAATTGTTATAGAATAAAAGTTGTCATAAAAAAGTGAAAAATGCCGAAAGTGAGGTCTTCAAATTGACTCTTGGTCTAAAAAATGATCTAAAACCCCAAAAGATATTCAGTTTATTCTTGTATGTGACAAAGAAATGTATTAATCGACTACTGTAATTGTTTTTAAGCTTTACATCGATCAATACATACTGTTTGCAGTGATGGAATATTCCCTTATTACAATTTGTCAAGAACTGTACTTGAGATAATTGTAATTTACTTCACTTTTACTTGTATTAGCGGTAGTGTTTCCATCACCTTGTTTCATTGATTCAAAGGGGAATTGGACCCGATGGCAGCTGGTAATGTAGCTCATACAGAGGCATCAGTAATAAATTAAGGCTGTTTCATAACCAATTAAAAACTCCTTGTAGTACGTTTAAGTAAAACATCTGAATTCGTCTTAAACAACAGACGGTTTGTGATGTTTAATATCAACAGAAAGTAGAAAATAGATCAAGCAAAGTACCTAATGTTTGTGTGTAAAGTTTCTTGACAACAGAGCAATCGCTCGCTGCTGTTTAGGAAACATTTTGTTTATAAGTTATGGTTTGTTGTTTCCTGTCAGGTCCTATCTACAGTATCTCAGTTAGTCACTACAGGATGTTTCTCGCTGGTTTGGCCACAATTCGTACAACAGAAACATCTTTCTTTTGGTGCACAATCACTATTTTGGCTTCTTTAATTATTAAAAGTTGATATAATGTAACTTTATATGTAAGTGTTCACAGTTTAACTATCACCGGCTTTTGTTGCAAGCAAGCTGTAATTAACTGATCTCTGCTTTCCAAACATAAGCACACTGGCACACTGTAATGTAACCGCATTCTCCTCGTAATAAATCCTTTATATTATGTTGTGGTCTGTGGTAAAGTTATCATAGTTTTATTTAGCATTAGCTTTAAGAAGAACCTATACCTCAAATATAAGGTTTTATAACTTTGAGGGAAGAATTATTTTTAGGTTTTGTATACAGTGGCTGCGAAACACCTGAAATACACGAATGCCGCTATCTAGAGCCAGTATTTGAGGTGTCTCTGTGCTACTGTAGAAACAACAACTGACCTACCTCTACTAGTGAAGCAGGTTTTAACAATAGTTCATTTGTCATTAAAATGCAGTAAGTGTGGTGGTTGTTATTTTAGCCACAGAAGATAATGGAGGGATTACTGAACAGGCACAGGGAAAGCCATAGCTTCTATTTAAAGTGACTGCTATTAGAATTTCTTGTAAGTCAGAGAGCTCAGGCAAAACTGGGGATGTCCCAACCGCCCTTTTCCACTCCTAATGCTTTGAAAGGGGAACTCCACTGATTTTACACATCAGAGTCAGTTTACATGGTCAGGTTGAGTAATGCATGTGAAAAAAAGTTTCACTAAGTCTTTTGGAGCCTCCAGAGGAAGTGGCACGAAATCTGATGTCGGTTGGGTCTGAAGATGAAGAAAATGACATGATATCTCTGGTTCTGCCATAGTAGGAAGCTAAATCACTGGAGGACTATTATAATATTAAATATCTGCCTTCATAGAGTCTGATCTAATATTTAACTAACTCTGGCAGGAAGGGGGGGGGCCTTTAAGTGTCTGTGCTCAGGGGTTGTCTCATAATCCGTCCATGCAGAGGACAAACAGGAAAATGACTCCCTGATATCACCGAACCACTTCCATCAAAACGAAACACACTCACCGTCATCTCCTCCTTTCTTCTTCTCCTCCCTCTTACTCTCATGTGTGGTGGACTTCCTGCTGTGCTTTGTGGACTTTTGTACCGGACTCTGCTGTCTCTCTTTGTCTGCACTGCGTTTCTTTCCTTCACCGCCCTCTCCTCCTCTTCCCCGATCGCTGCTCATCTGTGCATGGCGCTGCCGCCGTTCCTCGTCCCTGTCCCTGTTTCTGTCGCTGTGGGAACCGTGGTGATGGTTTTTGTTGGGTTCTTTGTTTGGTTTGATGTGGCGGACCTCTTTGCGAAGAGGAGGGGGACTAGGCTCGGGCTCAGGCTCAGGCTCGAGCTCAGGTTCGGGCTCGAGCTCGGGCTCGGGCTCAGGCTCGGGGCTCTCGTACTCGTCCGACTGGTAGCCTCCTCGCTGTGGAGGGCTGTACTGCTCGTGTCGAGGAGGTGAGGGCGAGTAGTTCGTGTGATAGCCTCTCTCCTCCTCCTCCTCCTCCTCCTCCTCCTCTATGTAGGAGGGCTCTTCCTCAGGGGAGGGCTCCCGGGTGCGTCTGCGGTCTCCAACACCTGCTTCTGGGCCTCGAGAGTGTGTGTGTGACCGCGAAGCCTCTTTGACGTGGCTGTTGGGGGGTCTGAGGTATAAAGATAAAACAGTGGTGAGAAACACGAGAGCACATTGCGACAACGTATCACAGCCACCGTCTGACTCAACAACAGTAAGGCAAATGTGATGTTCTAGTAAGAAATCAATATTATTGCTCATCATCTCATGTTATTGTTTAACAAAATCCTGTTGTCTGAATTAATGGTTAAGAGCAACTTGTAATCAAAAACTAACCTGAGGCTCGAAACGTAAATAACAAGATAGGTTTGAATATAAAATATATTAAATATTAAATATAACAGGAGAAAAAGCTATAATTTCACAAGGTGTCCTCCATGTTTAAGATGTAATTTTAAATCCAGACCACAATTTTTTCCCCTATTTTGATTTACCGAAAGTCATTTTAGAGCAATTAATAAGTAAAGTTGTTTTATTTTAAGTTCTGCAAAATTGGTGCATAAAATTGGAGCTTAAACATAATTTAAAAGTTGACTGAACGTCTCCAAACAACCACTGCAGGAACAGAGACATACAGCAAACAGGGACATGAGAGCTAAAGCATGGGCCGCTCCACCCCTTACTACTGTTTGCATGTCAAGGCACAGGTGTGCCAAACGCACCTCTCAGCCGACTGAGGAACCAGTTTCTTCCATTTGGCTACGAGGCTTTTGGCCACCTCTCCAGCTTCTTCATGTTTCCTAAAAGAATTCACAATCTTCCCAACTCCAGTTTCCTACGAGAGAACAAAACAAAGCGACAACAAGCCCAGATTTACTTATTTCATTCAACCACACAAGGTAAAGTTAATGAAATGCGAGCTGCAGTGTGTATTTTACAGCTGTTATCATATCTTTGCAGGATCAGAGTGATTTGATTGGTCAGAAACATGTCGAGACTGTGCTGATAATTGCCATAAATTGCACCTGACGAGAAAGAAAAAAACTGACTGAGCGAAGCATTTTTGTTTCCAGGAAAGCTCAAACTGACTTCTCGGAGCTGCACACTACGACTGCTGTCTGTTATTGTTTTCAGGTTTGGAAATCAAAGAGGATGTGAACGATGATTTAACACATTCTTACCACCAGTATGTCCACAGTCATAGGGAGTTCCCCCAGCCTCCTTAAAGTCTTCAAAAGCTGGAAACACGAGAGAAAAACATAACAATTGAGAGGATGGCATCAAAGTTAACACATTTCCAGCAGTGATACTATAAGACAGTGTGACTAATTATAAGTAGTGCCTTACTAAAGATAATTAAGGTTACAGTCATCTATATTATTACTAGTACAATACATACAGTGAAAGAACACACATTTGTCATTGTAACTATCCCTCGAATATCTCTTTGTGTGTGAGATTTAATAAATCAATGTGCAAACCTGCTTACTGCCAACACTGGATTATTTAAATATGCTTTGGCACATCAAAATAAACTGTATGCGTTAAAAACAAACAACCCCTGCTCTCGCGTTTGACCTCGAAACTGTAGTTATGTAGTAAAAAATGTACATCTTTATGTCCATCTCTTTCCAGAGTTTACAACCACATCTCACGCTCTTCCTCTGCAGATGGAGTTTGCTCAGTTGTCATGGAGATAGCTCATCACATGACAGACTTTCCCTCAGTCAACCCAACTCTGACAGACTTTCAGAGTTACGTATGAGTGCTGTACGAGTTGCCACTCCTCCGTTTACAACCACCTGTTATCACAGGATCACAGGATGGAGGTTCAATGTTTAGGTGATGTGACGACAACTTAGAGCCAGAGAGAGATGGCGTTGTGGAAAAGGCACCTTGAGATAAGATTATTTAATATTAAACTTTCTCAATAGATTCTCCAGAAAATTTACTTTTTTTTATTATAATTGTTTAATTGAATGTTATTTCTTATGTTTGCAGTATTTAAGTCAATTAAATATCAAACTACAAAGATACGATATATGTTAATATTGAGATATAAAATTACAGTGAGTGAGTGTATGTCATTACTTAAAACAAAATCCACATGATGGCCGTTAATTACTTCATTTTAAAACATATTTACATATCGGTTTGTTCACAGGTTTCAATTTCAACCACTGTTTCTGCCTTCAGAATAATTTACATGAAAATCTCACACACTCTATTTGCTCTCATTCCTTTAGTGTAAAACTCTCTGACCGATAGATGGTTGATTGATGTGATTGACCTTTTGGTTGACACTGTTGTCTTCGTTAAACTAAACCAGTGGTTCCCAACCTGGGGGACTGGACCCCAACTTTAGGTTGCCAAAGCGTTGTAGGGGGTTTGTGCGGCCTTCTTGATTTTAGGGAGTGTACGAAAATTTAAAAATATATACACAATAGGCCTTTATCTCAGCCTCAGGTTCATAATAATAATAATAATAATAATAAATGTAAGTAAATAGATCAATAATTAAGTGTCAGGGACAAGAGAACACTAAATTAGTCAAATAAAGGCTATTAAGTGTGTATGATTGTTAAAAGGTGACATAAAATATAAAATACAGACAAAGAATTGTACATAAAGTTCCCTAAACAGGAAACAATCTGCTCAAAATCCATTAAAAATCACTCGTTTCTACACAAACTTCCCACAGTCCCACAGAGTTCACTGCACAGTTTTAAACATAATATGAAAACATCCCTCAGATATGTCACCTAAGCAGTTCACTAAATGACAGAAAGTGTGTCTCACATAGTAAAATGTCGTGAAACCAGTGAAGCACACAGATTTCCACAGAGTAAACAGCGTTGAATGAAACAGTCGTGCATCGTGTAGACAGAGTGGATGCGTGGCCTAACGGGGAGCAGGGCTGTTAACAGTGAGGGCAGAAAAAGAAAACCACACACTGAGCTCTTATTATACATTAAACTACCAATTATTACTTCTGGAAACCAGGAATGTGGCTTCTGTTACACGAAACGCACTCCACGCAGATATCACGCATGCTTTTGTTTTGTTCCATTTCAGCAGAGAAAGTAAACAAAGGGGAGGACGGACATTGTTAAATGGTGATTTATTTCAGCGCACAGCCTCGGCGCAGCGACGTACAACCGCGGTACGGTCTGAAATCACCCAAAATCCGTTGAACATTACAGGCCGCGGGGTCGGTGTTACTGTCATTACTTTCCTCCGCACCAACGTTAGTTAGCTGGAAGGCTAAAGGCTACTACTCTGCCCCCCCCACACACACACACACGTTATATGATGAATAAAAGTTGTTGTTAATGTTGTTGTTTTAATAAGTGTGCAGGTTGTGTGTGTGCAGGTTGTTGCTGTGTGAGGCGGACAGGGGTTTTAAAAGAAGTAACGTTATAACAAGTTAAAAGCCCTTAATTATCGTGACGTTGCACAGGACGCGTTCACGGACGGTGGGAAATGTTAGTGATTCGTTATCCAAAATCTGTTCAGCGTTCAGAGTGGTTATCCTGACATTGATCCTCCCAGAAGTATTAAGATTAATAACTTTTTACAGGCTCCAATAATATATTAACGCAAGGTTTAAGTTTGACGTGTAGAACATATTTTATTTATTTTGTCTCGCAAATAAATATTAAAGCAAATTAAATACTTTGTGAACTCCAATATATATATAACTAATTTATGGATTGGTAATAAGGGACAAACATATCATCAAATATATCGATATACGTCAAATGAACAAACACAAGTCCCTGATTTTAATTTTAAAACTGTTTTTAAGCTGCTATCTTTATCTGAAATCCATTTGATTTTACCATTTTAAGTGTTTATGTTCTTCTACTAAGACATACCTATACTACCACAGCTGTAATGCACAGCTTTAGATTTATAGTTGAGGTTTTAAAAAGGAAAAACAAAGGTTTTAATTCAGCCATATTTAAATAGGTCACTGGTTGGCTGTCCTGATTTACATTCTTGTGTCATTTTATTAATCCTACCGCTGTCACTGTTTACATTTTCCTTTCTACCACTGAACCACACGATATGTAAATTAAAAAAAAACAACCCACAGTTAATCAAATGACTTCCAGAGCAGAACTATCATTTACATTTCTGGGCCCCCCTGAATGCCCTTTGAAGTGAAAGGTTGTGAGAAGACGGAGCCCCGACAGCGGCCCTCAAACGCAGCATTAAAAAACGGTTGCGACTTTCGGGGAACTGCCGTTGCTGCGGCTTCGTTTCGGGAACCGGCGACAAACCGTAGCTCTTCAACAGACAGCCGGTGCTCGACACTAACTACGTCTACCGCGACCGGTTCAGTCGTTACCTTTCGAGGCTCCGGATTCTCCCGGAGCCGAGACTGAAGTCTATCCACTGTTTCCAGCAGTTCCTCCGCCATGTTTACTGCTGGTACCCTGTCGCCCGGAAGCTACTTCATCCTGACTGAACCGATGACGGCGGGAGGGGCGGGAGAGAGGGGGGGGAACCAAAGCGAGGCTGCTGAAAACGTTTAAAAATAATAATAAAATCCTTAAAGAAATAAAATAAAAACAACACCAAAGAAGTGCATTCATTAATAAAATTATAGAAAGTAATAAGGAAAAAGTGAACGTGTTTTTTTTTTTTTAATCTTCATGAATATTCACGAGAGGGCGGAACTACGTCACAGCACAGCTGACGGCGCACGCAGGGAACACCTGTCCCGTGACGTCAGTGAAAACGCTGAATTAGCTTGTAGTATTATTTACTGTGTAACCGGATAACAGAGGCTCTACTTTCTTTAAAATAACTACAGTAATCCCTGCAGAGTTGGTGCTGAAGATGGCTTAACTTATATATTTATATATTTTATATTTATATACTTTACGTTTTGTTATAGGGTAGCATCTACACCCTGTTGGGTTGCTGTCTGTAAATATTGACAACTTATCAAATAATCAAAATATTTACTTGAACTGAGATTTTTTTTGTGTGTGTGTGATTTTATTTATTTATTTAATTTGTTTGTGGATCTACAAAACACACTGAAGTCAAGTCATAACATTCAGGTTAAAAAAAATGTTTATTTTTCTATAATGGACCTCTATCATTTATTAAACTCGCTAGGTGACATATTTTATGGATATTAATTATTATTATTAACCCAAACAGTGAACTTAGTAACTGTAGGAAGTTTGTGTAAAACAAGTGATTTATGTGAATTTTGAGCAGATTATTTTCTGTTTAGGGAACTTTTTATTCAGTTATTTCTCTGTGTCACGTATTTCTAATCACTTTTAACAATTATACTGATTTAACAGGCTTATTTTTTGACAAATTCAGTGTTTTCTTGTCCCTGATGCTCGGCCAGAAGTGACCCAAATGCTGAGATATAGTCCGACTTTGTATATACATAAAATTGTCCTACATGTTTCCAGGTTGGGAACCACTGACTTAAAGGGTTAACGCATGCTCGAAATTGTTGACCATTATTTTTCTCTCATTTAATAAAATTAATGTAAATATATCTTTAAACATATTTAAATATATATATATATGATATATATTTAATACACTGAGATACATGTAATTCTGTTCATTTAAAGAGTATGAGAAGAAACGGTTATTTGGGTTGTTGGAAGGACAAGAAAGAGCACAGCGAATCACTCACTGGAAATGACTTGTTGCTTCCTGACAATCAGGAAACCGCTGCTCGCTTATCAACAGACGCACACAGTGTGACGAGTTTACCTCCGTTTTCTCACTTTTAAGTGGACTGAATACACTGAAGGCAACACAGAGACTGCACCAGTTTTCCTTTCCTTTTAAATTTGGAAAACATTTGTGGAATAATTTGAAAGACGCTGTACTCAGTGAGTCAAATAATTGTGTGTAATGTGGAAGAAAAGCTGCTTGTGACAAACCTAAAGAAAATTATCTGACATCTTCAGGCTGTTTTTGTATTTATTGTTAAAGTTTAATCTCACCACTGCGGCCTGCACATACAAAAACAGCACGTACAAAAAGTTAGCGACAGCTTTAATATCTTTTCAGATTACAATCTTTCATACACCCTTCCTGTCAGTGAAAACAACATATCACCATCTCTGTATCGTTTGTAATAAACTGAAGGATTAAAGGACCAGTGTGGAGGATTTAGTGGCATCTTGCTGTGAAGTTTCAGATTGTAACTATGTGAACACGGCTGGCGTCTGTATCTGACGACCTGGGAATGAGAACGAGCTGTGATGTGGAGAAACTACGGTGGCCGGGACACTCGTGAAATCCTCTCTGAGCCAGTGTTTGGTTTGTCTGTTCTGGGCTACTGTAGAAACATGGTGGTTCAATATGGAGGACTCTACGGTAGGAGACCGGCAGGCGTCTGTAGATTCATTCTAAGGTAACAAAAACACAACAATTCCTTTATTCAGGGGATTATACGCTAATAAAAACATATCTGTGAATATTATCCTCCATTTCTAACATGAGATCCTCATAAATGTTAAACACTGGAGCTTTAAATCTTCTTTTATGGACTGAGGAAATTCTCACTCAACTTCTTATACTAAAGAATCTGTCACTTGGAAGATTGTATTATCTGGAAATGACTCCTCCTCACGAAGTTTAAAAACAGCTTTTTTTTTAGCTCAAACATGATGATTTTATAGAATATGATGCATTGCTGTGTTGTGTTTAAATGTCTAAATGTGGTTATGTTGTGTGTAGACGTGTATGTACAGACTGTGGCAACACATTTCCTGAATAGGACAATAAAGAATCTATCTATCTTTCTGTAGATTACCCAACAGTATATAAAGTAGTTAAAATTAGAATATTAACTCCTACCGATCAGTAAAACACTGACAAGGGAGCATTTTACCGCAGAAGTAAGTACTTAAGTAAGGTTTTTGAATGCGGGACTTGTTTACAGTGTGATATTAGCACTTTTTTACTTAAGTAAAGGATCTTCCAGCAGTGGGAAAGACAGCACATACACAAGACTGCCATCAAATCTAAAACCCGAGGCCACGAGGGGAACGAGGCGGGGTCGGGTGAGAGGAGAGCTGACCTCTTATGGCATATTTTTGGAGGGGAGGGGTGTCTGTATTTGGAAACGGAGGTTGGATGTTGGAGGTGGGAAGAAGAGGACCTGGTGATGTGAGCTCAAACACACACTCTCTCAGACACACAGACACACACAGAGGCACTCTGGCAGACTGACGCAGGACGAAGGGAACGAAGCCGAGAGGAACCTGTTAGAGAACGACAACAAAGAAAACAGAAAGAAGAATAAGAAGAGAGCCACAAGAGAGAAGCTGAGAGAGCAAAAAAGGAAGAGCAGAAGAGCAGGAACCAGGAGGGAGAAAGAGGTAAAATACTATTTTTATTTTACTGCATTACAACTTGTTGAGGCCATAGACTGTATATTTAAAAAGGTTGAGTGTAAAGGAACTAAAGCACATTTGTATCTTCAGCTCTCAACCTGCTAAACTTTCTTTAAAGTTGATTGAAGTGAAAACTCAATCAAAACTGCATTGTTGTGTGTTAATGCTTCACAAATTAATTTAAATAAGATATATAAAAGACTTTAACTTGAAATACATTTAGCTAATTATTCTTTTGTGCTTTTACTTCACCCTCATACGACTTTAACTTTTTACATATTGCTACTTAAATAAAAATAACTTCTTCCACCACTTGACCTCCGCATATCAAATGACATCTCCAATGACATCATCCTCGTATTAATTAGTAATTTAAACTAATATTTATATTTAACTGCCGAGCGGAAACAATGTGAAGCAGTTGCGGTTGAGATATTACTAAACTACAGGAGGTGTCAGTCCTTCTCTTTCCACTCCTTAGCTGTCAAACACACACACACACACACACACACACACACACACACACACACACACACACACACACACACACACACACACACACACACACACACGCACACATACACAAATACACAAACATACAAGTGGTGATGGTCAGCGCCTATAAATACCCTCGTGAGATAGGCAAAGGAATTCAGCTACAGCCACAGAGCGGTGGAGGTGGTGCTTTGTGTTTGTGTGTGTGGACAAAATAACAGAAACACAACACAATGCAGTTGTTAAAAAATAGTGTCAACGGTGTTGTTAAAGCAGCTATAATCAATAATCAACCTTCAACCCTGCTGCGTGTTTTAACATCCTTTAGAGCATTATTTTGATTTTACAGCAACTTTTACTGTTTGAGTTCACTCTCACGGCTCTTATAGTGTCGATTTTGGACGCAGAAGCAGCTGTTTTTAAAAGAAAACACAACCTTTTTATAAACTCATAAACAGCAGACAGACACCAGCTCAGCCTCACACCAAAACGCGTGAAAGACCCACCAATGTGGCGCCCGGATAGCTCACATGGTAGAGCTGGCGCCTCGTGTACCAAGGCTGAGTCCTTGCTGCAGCGGCCCAGGGTTTGAATCCGACCTGCGGCCCCTTTGCTGCATGTCGTACCATTTCTCTGCCCCCCTTTCCTATCTATCTTCAGCTGTCACTATCAGTTAAAGAATACATAAAAAAGACCCATCGATCCGATAGAGTATGTAAGTATGTGTGTGTGTGTGTGTGAAGGTGCAGTATATAAAGAACAGTTTGCATAGGGAGGACGATGGGGTGGATGGTTGGGTCAAACTAACACAGTCCTGTGTGTAGAAATACATTATCTCAGGTAATGTACTTAACTTTTTTTGCCTAAACTCAACCAAACTGTGACCTCAGTAATCTTAATTTTTAAACTGTAACCAGATGTTGAATATTTATTATTATTATAACTTGACCGCGGATTGATAATGTGTTGAAATGTGACAGCGCCACGGTGGACCGACGTTTGTATTACGTGCTTTGGCGTGATACTGGGTTGCAAACACAGTTAGATGAACATAAAGGGGCACGGAGCAGCTGAAGGGGCAGATATTTCCTTTAAGAGCTAAAAGGAGGGCGAACATTTGACTTACATTGATCAGCTGGACACAAACACACGACTCCAAATAAATTCTAATGTTGCCATATCAACTTAAAACACAATACAGTGTCACTCGCCCTTGTTGTGGACACATACAATTAGCTTAGCTTAGCATAAAGCCTGGAAACAGCTTCTGCCCACACGTGCAAGAATACATCTGTACCCAAAGTTTGCTAACGCTCACACCCGCCCTGAGCAAGGCAGCAAAACCCCAGAGAGGTGCTGAACTGAGAAAGTGTGGTACTTCTTATGAATTCAAACTTTTATATACATTTCTAGTTGACAGCAGGTTCTTTAATCAAAGTAATAAACATCAAACGAGAACAACAAAGACAGTCAGTGGATCAGAATCATAAGAACGTGGTCGCACTGGGCAGCTCTCCAGTGTGACAGCCGTTGTTATTGTCATTGATTTTGGAAGGACGCTGCCACCGCTGTTGCTGCTGATGC